TGCAACACTGCCCATTCTCTTAACCAGGACTGATTCTTCTATTATTTTTCATACAGTTATATTTCTTTGGATTAATTCTCACCAATTATATTTCATACAAATATATTTGTAAAATTTGCAAATTCTAAATGCCTACAAGTATCTTCTTCTAGTGTATCTTTTGGAACATTAAAATGATTTATCAAAAATACCATATTCGAGAGGTTCAAAAAGAACCTTGGGGTTAGAACAATTTAAAAGTCTCAAACAGACAAATTATTTGTTTTCTCAAAATGGCCCAGATATTTTGTGCGTTAAAAGTGTTTGTCGTATGAGTATACTTATAATTAATAATTAACAAATGAAAATTTAAAATTGAATAGCACGGAAATTATCTGAAAACTCAATAATATAAAATTTTTGTCGTCAAATTTTGAGTCCATTCAAATATATTTAAGAAATTACAACAGAAAATTTCGTAGATTTGTTTTCGTTGAAAATTTTAGCAACGTATAACAAAAATTTCTTTTAAATGAGAAAAACATTTACATATTAAATAATTAAAATAAGTTGTAATAAACTAACAATGCAAGAAACAAGATCATATAATTTACCTGTTTTGTTAATTTATCAAGTGTGTTTTAGAGTAACAAAAAGTAACTATCAGGAAAAGAATTCATTAATAAATTCATGACGATGATTATAATTATAATCACGACTTTCACTGCGTGATCATTTTCAATAAATAATTATTAATTTAAACTTTAACTTTCTAAAATAATTGCAAACTCAGGGACACAGTCTTTGGTGAACTTAAGCCCACAGCCTAAGCTTTGGTTAATTGTCCCCTTAAAAAAATGTGAGGATTTTACTTTCCTAAGTCAAACGACTGACTTGAGTTTACAACTATCAATCTTCAATACAGTAGCCTTGTAATTTTGAACCCAACTCAGAAGACAAGAGAGTTCCTGGATCAAGCATAAGGGCAATCTAGCTTTCGTGCAACATTTTTAGATGTAACTAACCCGTATTTGCGTTACATGAAGATAAAAACCATGAAAACCTCTCATGGTTATCCCGACGGCAAGGGGATACTAATCCATGATCCTTCTACCACCGAGGATATTTTTACGTCAGCATTATGATCTATGTGAGCCGGGAGCAGAATTCTTATCTTCCAGTCACCGCTGGGATTCGAACCTGGTTCACCTGATTGGAAGGAAAACGCTCTATCCCCTGAGCCACCGCGTACATGAAAAATTTGGAGTCAAATGTGTCAATCAATCTCTAACTCTTATGTCTTTAATTATTATTCCCTCAATTAAAAGCCAAGAGTGTACCGGGGAAAAAATATTACCAACAACAAGGAGAAATTTATATTAGGGGCAGAAATAAGCTTACATTATACCACTATATAAAACTACACGTTACCTTTATATACCCCTTTAATTAGTTTGAGAATAGTTTTAATGCGACGTATAACATTCGAATTAAATCAATTAAGCACAGATAATTCTAAGCTTTTATAAAAAGTCCTGTTTTTATGAAATAATAAAAGGATTTCTGAAAATCTTGCGAATTAGTGAAAATAGCGTTCTGTTTTGTGATTTTGTAAAAAACAACGAAAATTAATGGTCTGTCGAGTCTTATTGTGAAAGGTCCAATTTTTGATTAATGCTATTATTATCGTTATTGTTTTTGAAAAATTCGCTTATTTCCTGAATAAAAAATTAGCATAGAATCTTATTCTTTCAGCTGGAACCCTATTTGTGTAATAGTGTGGAAATAAGGTCTTATTTTATTTATTTTTTATTATTATTATTATTATCATTTTTGAAAAATACAAAAACCATATTTTTTAAGGAAAATTAATGACGATTATTTTCTCATAGAATTTCTATAGAATTAATGACTTAAAATTGTGAATTAATGACGTCATCATCTTCGTTTTTCAACTAAGGATGAGTACATTTTTAAATTAGATAATATTAGAAAGGTCCGATTTTAAGATGAAATATTTCATGTAGGACCTGGATTAACATAAAATATCTTGTAAAAGATCCGTTTTTACAGTAAAATATTTTCCGAAGGGTTCATTTTAGAGACAGAATATTTTGTAAAGGGTCGTGTACATGGTGAAAATAATTTCTCCTTAGAACACTCCTGTTCCATTAAACACAAAATATCTAGATCGTTACGTGTTTCACAGTTAAAATGCGTTTAACAAAAAATCAGTATTCATTTAAATTTTTTTCATTTTCTACATGATATTGAATCAAATCTATTATTATTCTGATATGTATAAATCGAAAAAAAAAATTTAGTTTTAATCGCAAAAAAATTTTAGTTCTTATTTTAATTTTAAAAAAAGTGCGAAATTTGAATTAAGCTGTTTTTATTACAAATCGGGTGATTTTCGTTAATTTCGGCAAGTGTTATCCACCATAATTTATGGTAGAGCATCAAAAAACAAAAACGACTAAAAAGAATTCTTTTCAGACACATTTTGATAAGAAAATTTGCTTTTCTCATTGAACTATTTTAATAACATGGCTTATTTTATTTTCACAAAAAGTGACATTTTTCACGATTTTAATAAAATTAAACACAATTTAACAATAAAAATAAACACATATGTATTTTAATCAATTGTTTGACGACTTACAAAATTATTTCTGAACTCTTAAAATATTTAGAAAATACGATTTCTAGCAATCGAATAAAATTACTTTATCAACATTTCAATCAGAAAAATATAAACACATTCAAGAAAGTTATAAAAAAGTTGAATAAAATAAATTTCTTTGTATTTTTAAGGGATTTCTTTAGTATAAGAATTCATGATGGACGATTCTATTCCTTACGATAATAATAAACAAAGTTTTTAATAATCTCGTATTTTTCAGGAGTGTTATTTATTATTTTATTTTTAGATACTGATAGCTTTCAAGATGATCTCTGGGACTGTTTCAGCAAATATTTTTTCTAAGCAAATTTATTGATCTTATTGAAAACATAATCAAACGCATTCTACGCGTTTTTTTTTTAAAACTACATTTATAACAATTAACAAAAGAAGTTCTTTAAACTCAATTTTTGAAGGGTTTATATTGATGGCATAAAAATCCTTTAAGAAGACATTCGTCATGGATCAATGACGGATGACGTAGAGTAGCAGTTCCCACATTTTTTTCGGCTGTGGAACCCTGAATGATCGACTTTATTTTGGCAGAACCTCGAGACTAAATGAATAAATTTTAATGGATATTGTAAACATAATTATTTAATAAAATAATTTTAATTGTTTTTAAAACATGTAATAATCGAAATTTTATGTATTATTTTGTTAATATAGTGAATTAATGGGTAATGAAATTTTTCACTATATGTTTTTATCAAGGGGGAAAAAACATAAACTTTGAAGTTGAGTTTCACGTTCTACAGTTGAATTGACAGATCTAGAGGGGCATTTACTCTAGCTCTTAATTTGATTGTAGTGAACTGAAAATGAATGAGCTGGGAGAAAAAAAAAATAAAGAAAAAAGACAATGGACGAAAATAAACGGTTGAGAATCGTGATCAGAGAAACATGTCTTTCATTGTTGAATTCAATTATTTTCATTTGATGCTAAATACTAATGCAACTTTTCATAAATGAATGTTTATCCGTTTCATAATTCGCTGATTATATTGCTATCATAAAAAACAGTGTTTTGAATTTTCGTTTTTACAAGCATTTTAATTAAAAGATTTTATAAAAATAACAGAAATATTAAATAAATAACGGATTATTAATTCGCTACAAATTTAATTACAGGTTCCGAAAATCATAACTTAGTTAAAAAAAAGTCCTAACTTTTGGAACTCTTGTGACCCTTCCATGGAACACTAGGTTTCCGAAGAATACCATTTCAGAACCACTTATGTAGAATTTTTTTTAATTTTTTTTTTACCATTTTTAATAAGTTTTTATAATCATACAAACCACTAAATCGCTTATGAAAATTTCAATTTTCGCCCTACCTCATACCTTTCAAAGTTTAATTAATGTAATAATACTATTTTTAAATTTTAAATATTTGCTTATTTATATTTTTTAATAATAAAACCTTTTTTTGGAGTCCTTTATTATTTTTGTCAATGTTTCTATGTTCTATATATAACAATTCTACATACCACAATATATAACAATAAATAATTAAGTAATTATTTTTCTATTTTCAACACCATGAAAATAATGAGCTCTAAATTCGATAGTCTTATTACTTTTTAACAGTTAAAACTATTTTAATAAAATAAATTCTTATTTTGTTACTCATTTTTTAACTTTCTAACTTCTTAGCAGCAAAAAGTAAGAATACAATTATATTAAAGGCATATTAAAATGCATTTTTTATTAATCCATTGAACTAAACGATCTTTCCGCAAAATCAACAAATTTTAAACAAGTAAAAATGAAAAAAAAAATGAAAAAAATTTAGTAGATTATTTGGATAAAATTGGCATAATTCAAATGTTTTTCCAAAGGAAAACGCCGGCGAAATGCTATTGACGGAAGAAAAGAGAAAATGCTATTAACGGAAAATAATAAAACTACATTTTAGATATAGTTGAAAATCAAATAAAAATATTTGTTAAAAGAATAAATATTTTAATGAGGAAAAAAAACTTACCCCTTAACGATCGCCACCTGAATAACGTATGCAGGTTAAAAATGACAGGAGATACAACCTCTTAAGCATCTCCGTAGAAATGCATCATTACGACCAAAACCAAAACAAATCAGAAAAAAATTTAACTAACGACAGTTACGATAACGATTAAAATATTATTTCTCTTATAAATTTTTTATTAATTTTTTTACTCTTTGATATTTTTCTAGAGTACAAAATATTTATTTAACTATTAGTAGAATGAAACACAGATAATTTTTATTACTACTCAATGAGATGTATAAATATTTATAAAATTTCAAGATAGCTTGCTGCACTTTTTTTTTCTTTTTCTCTCAATCAGCTGTATGCGGTTGTTTCCATTTCGATACAACTAAACTCGTATTCTTCGGCATAATGTCAGAAAAATTGTAAACAAACAAATCATCCTAATCTCATCAGTCATATATTTCTGGTTAGATTACTTAAGGCGAAAAAAAAAGCCTTCCAAATTTTGACGGTCGTATAAAATCCGTCAATTGTTTTCAATAACTAACAGTAAGAAATATTCATCGATAATATAAGTAATTACGAGCATAAGCTTTATTAACAAACAGAAAAAAATTTTTGAACTTGTTAGCAAATGAATGAAGACACAGATATTAATGTCTGTCCTGATTCTCAAAATTGTAATGAATCTCATGATTCCGATGGAATCATAAAATCTGATGATTCTGAAATAATTGAGTGTCAAGAAGGTAGTCAAACAGAAGTAGGAACTGGATTTACTTTTTCTAATAAACTTATTGACGATTTATCTTTGAATATGACGAAAAATAAGGTCTGTGAGGGAGAAGATAAAATGTCGGTGGACAAAGAAAAGAGTGAATCTGTTGTAGAAAGTCAAAACTCTGAAGAAAAAGCTGAAGATATTGAGACTAATGAAACTCCTGCACCTTCAGAGGACATAGACGTAGAAGCACTTACTGAAGAAAAAATACTCCAAGTTGCCAAAGAAGATAACTCTAAACCTTCAAATTATTCATTTTGCGAATGGTCAGAAAATTATGATAGCCTTGAAGATGACAGGCCCATGGAAGATGTTGCTGGTAAAAATTAATAATTATAATGAAATTGATCACAGTGGTGTGTGAATGCTTTTGCGAACTCTTTGGTTAGATACCCCTGAAAAGAGGGTATAATTATTAATAGGGACAAATAAATTCCTATTTAAATAAAACAAAATAAGGAAAATGTTGTAATAACAAAAATCTAAATATATATTAATTTATTTTTATGAAAATTTACACAGAAATTATTTGATTAAAATAAAATTATTTCCATTCGTGATGTTCGGCATTTTAATGCCCTAAAACTTCATTCATTCACGTCATGAATTATTTTCCTATGATCCAAATATTTCACCTCTCATATATACTCTCCTGATTGACCATACTTATGTCATACATTCATACAACCATATCATTTAGTAAACATTCGATATTTACATTTAGATTTGTGCTTTTTAATGTGACCAACAGATTTACTTAGATCTTTATATTTAAATTTCATGTAATAAAATGTTATCAAGCATATTAAACGTAAAACCAAAAAATTTCAAATTGTTTTTTTTTTTTAGCAATTTATTATAATTTGAAATTTTTACTTTTGTTTAATTAGTTAGAAAATAAGTTACTACTTTATCAGCAAGGTTAGACAAATATAAATAACTGCTATCAATCCTAAAAGTAAAAAAATCTCTTTTTGCAATTATTGCATAGTTATGTATATTTTGACTATTAATTAAAAAGATGGGCATGATATAACATCACGTACAAATTTTAATAACAACTTGATGAGATACAGAAACCAAAACATAACACCTATATACAAAATTACATTTAACATAATCTGATATCATATCATCATACCGTATAGCTGATGCCATAATTATAACTATTTAAGTCTTAAGTTGGTTAGAAGATGAGGGAATATTCTAATAATAAGGCGAGGTGTAAATTTTAATGTTACTGAGAAAAAAATACAATTGAGTAATTTTTTTTTCTAACATTAAAATGTTAATTTTGCAGCTTTTTTCTGAGATGACTGCCCTTCACCCTTTTCGTCTGTCGTTTTTAAGGAATAATTTAAATTTTAATCTATTAAAAACATCTATGAAATTATTATTTTTCTAATTGATTGAAATGTGTTAATAAATAGTCACTACTATTTCTTATATTTTAATCAATGTAGTTATAATATTAGAAATTATATACAGTACAGAACCCGTTATCCGGAAAACCAAAAAACCGGAACGAAATTCGATAAATTTTCCCGCCATTTTCAAAATTNATGTTTTTTTCCTCATAAGATTTTAGGATTTTTCTTTCTTTTTTGAAGGATTTTTACCTTATCATCATTTTGGAAATAATCATTAGTTTATAGTTATATAATTTATTTTTTTTTAGTTGGGTTTAACAATAAAAAAAAACGGCTTTTTGTAGCGATTCCGAAAACCTGAAAAGTCAGTTATCCGGAATAGCGATGGTCCCGATCATTCCGGATAATCGGTTCTCTACTGTATTTTGAAAGAAAAGAGAGAGTCAGTTTAAAAAAATAGTCTATTAGAATTTTTTAGAGATATTTCAGAATTATTAAACATGTCTTACTAGTTAAGTAACCTATTGTCACTTTTATAACAGTTACTGAATATCTTGGGCATGGGTGTGTTTAGTAATTTTTAGGTTTTCATTGAAAATATGCATAAATTTTTTTTGTAAATTTTGTTTAAAAGCCTTGATGCAACACTGCCCATTCTCTTAACCAGGACTGATTCTTCTATTATTTTTCATACAGTTATATTTCTTTGGATTAATTCTCACCAATTATATTTCATACAAATATATTTGTAAAATTTGCAAATTCTAAATGCCTACAAGTATCTTCTTCTAGTGTATCTTTTGGAACATTAAAATGATTTATCAAAAATACCATATTCGAGAGGTTCAAAAAGAACCTTGGGGTTAGAACAATTTAAAAGTCTCAAACAGACAAATTATTTGTTTTCTCAAAATGGCCCAGATATGAAATGGTGGCTGAGTTTAAGCTTTCCACTGGCCATGATTGTCTCCCAAAACACTTGACCACTAAGCATAGTTCTAAGTCTTATCTGCAGTCTCTGTAATCTGGGACGAGTCAGGGAGAGTGGTCATCTCTTCCTTTGCCGAGCTTTAACCAAATATTCTCTTATGAACCTCAACCTGGCAGGCATGGGGCCTTTTAGATTCCTACACTATCGTTACAGCTGTTTCTCTTCTTCATGTTTTTTTTTCTCGATGTTTTTTTTCTCTCTCTCTCTGTTTATTCTTTATATAGCTGTTTGTATTTACTTCTGTGGTTGTCTTTTAATCTTGTTATTAGAAATAAAAAGAAATATTTGTGAGATACACTAATTTTTACATCAATTTAATTGAATTTTAAATGACAAAATAAAAGATTTGAACAAAATCAGTGGGACTTATTCAATTTTAAAAAGTTGTATATTTAAAATTTCATTTCTCAGGTTTTAATTCCCTGACTACAAATAATAGATACGAACATAAATATACTATATTTTTAGATTTTAAATTCATCCATGCATACTAAAACCTAAAACCATTTCAAAATTCTAATAAAATAGTATAATGTTTTATTGATGCTAACAATACAGACAAAAGAAAATAAGTTTATTTAATCACCACTGATTTTATTTTTTTCACTTACTATAACTCAACTTGTTCTGACAGGTTGGTGATAGTGTAAAGATTGGGAAAAAAAAGACCAAAATATTTTAAATTCCTTGTTTGTGGTTAATTTTGTTTACTTTTTCTATGTTTTTTAAGTTTAAAAAATCAATTGATCCTTTGTAGAAATATCAAATTTTATGAAGAAAAAATCAAGAATAAATGGCATGAAATTAAATATGAAATGGTTGGGACCTCATAGAAAATTTGAGTTACACTAATACTTAATTTCTAATGTGAATAATTATGTAAGATTTTCTTAATAATGCATCTGATTTCTATTTGATGAATACAAGATTGTTTTTTATTGTTAAAGGGATAATTTTTTCATTCCTAAATTCATGTCTCTCTTGTTTTGTTTTTATTAAGTAAAAAATATATGAAAAACTGATTTTTTACAATACATATAACAAAATTAACTTTTTATTTTATGTAATTTTAATTTTTTTTTTACTTTTTGCATCTTTCTTTGCGTTTGTGAAAAATAAAGGTATCACACTCTACTACTTCACATAAATTTAAAAAATTCAATTTTTTTTTTTATCCACTGCAGATAACTTAGCAAATCTTATAGTACAGTACCTCATGTAAAATTTTCCTTAGCTGTTTCAATTCTCCTTTACACTCATATTAAAAAAGGTAAAGATTAAAAATTAAGTAAAGTTTCCTTTAATAAATAAATTTCTACAGTTTTATAAATTTTATTTGCCTAATTTCAAAACAGTTTTTTATATATTTTTATAATTTTTAAGTGTTTTCCTGAAGAAAAAAAAACAGTTTTTAATATATTATCTAGTGACAGTACATGGTTTACAATGTTTTTTTAAAAGATGACTTATGTTGTTTCTAGTGACACTTGAACAAGCTAAGTCATTGACCTTGTGAATTATGTCAGAAAGGTGCGCCTTTCATTTGACAAGAGAATGTCGTAAAGTTTAAAGTACATCTTGGCTCAGAACCGCAAGCAAAGAGGGCAGCACCTCTCATTCCTCAGGACACTCCCTCAATTTGGACACAGCTCTGAAGGAAAAGGAAATTTTCTCCAGATATCTACCCCTAGTACTGCTTGGTGACCAACCACAGGACTCCCTCAGATTTTAAGAACGCTTACATCGCATGTACTCTGCGGTTCTTAATTGAGTCGAGGATCGTACCGGGCCCATTCGCACTGTAGTCCGAATCACTAACCACTGAGCTACTAAAGCCCTTTAGATAATTTATAAATAATTTGAATTATAAAATGTATGTTAAATTCTTTAAATTATATTCTTAAAAATAATACTCTTTTTCTTCTTCATATTTTAGAAGATCCTCAGAAGTTCATTTTATGGGCTTCAGAAAAAGATGAAGTTGAAATTGTCCGAAAATTACTGGAAGAAGATCCAAGTCTTGTAAATGCAAAGGATAACGATTTATATACCCCACTTCATAGAGCTGCATATAGTAACAGTGTTGAAGTCATTAAAGTAATTTTGTCTTTTTGTAACCTTAGTTTTATAACCTTAAATTTATGTTTTCCAATGGTAATATTTTTTGCTCTAAAGTATCCACATCATTTGCTTATTCAGTGTGGTGAACTAAATGCTTCTATTTAAGTTTAAATATTTATAAGAAACCATAAGTTAAATTTAACTTACTACAGAAACAAAATAATGAAAGATAACTATTAAATCTTTACATAAAGCTTTTTAAAGTTCAATTGAACATATTTTAATAACACCCTGTGTTAGATTTTTAAAACTAAATAAATTCCTTTCATCCTAAATTGTAGAAATTTCCTCTTTTCCATCTTTTCAATCATAACTTTAAAAACAATCTCTAATTTTCTTCTAATTTGTAAAAACAAGATTTTATTATAGGGTTGACATCCAAATTATAATCAACTATATCCAAATTACACTCAACTATATTTATACAAATACTTAATTTACATTACATTTATGCCAACAACTTAATATTTAAGATTAACTATTGGAATTTCCTTTAAAATGAAGATAATATACTAATCATTTGCTTATAATGCTCAATGTGACAGCTCTGCTCCCTGGTGAATAACCTTGCAACTACAAAAAGAGGTATAAACAGAAACTACCAAAGTAAACAGGAACCCAAATTTCAATAACTAACGTCTGTTAATCGACACTTTTAAATTCTTTGATTGATGGAACATTATAATGTCTAACTCCTTGTTTCCTATGTAGTTTTAGAAATTTTAAGAGAAATTTTAAGGTTTAAATTTGTTTACTTTTATTTAGCTGCTCTTATCCTATGATGCTAACATCAGTGCGAGAACTACTGATGGCTGGGAACCTCTTCATTCTGCTTGCAAGTGGGACAGTGTTGAAGCAGTTTCTTTACTACTGCAGAATGGAGCTGATATAAATGCCTTAACACAAGGTAATATTACACCTTTACATCTTGCAGCTTCAAACTCATCTGGAAGAAGAACTCTTGAATTCCTGTTATGGCAGCCCTATATTGATCCTGACATGAAAAATGATGCAGGTGACACGCCTTATGATATTGCTTTTCGCACAGGTACGCTGGCTGATTTGTTTGAAATGCTGGAAGAGTCTGTTAATGAATATTGACTATTTTCATGGTTTGTGACGCCTTCCATAGAGTTTATGTGCCATTGTTTGCCTGGAAAGTCATTTATATATGTATATTATTACAAGTTAGGGTTTTGAATGCCCAAAAATGGCTTTTGCTAAAATATATGGGTTTTACTTTGTGTCCTAAAGGGAAAATTGTGAGAATAGAATAAGTTCTATGACTTTTTTTTAGCATGGTTTCATATTGAAAATGTGTTGTATTTTAATTAAATTAAATCCTGTTTTGTACAAAAACTTGTTAACATTCTGTTTTTTAAACGAAACACCCTATATTTCTTAAATAAATCTATTTTATTTCTTAAGTAATTCCATTCTACTTCTTAAAAACTTAAACTATAATACTTTATAACTGAATAATTTATTTTTAATATTAAAAAAAATATTTGCTATTAAAGGTATATGAAAATAACATTCTTCAAAAGTTTTATTTTATTTTATTTATTTATTTATTTTTTTGCAAACTTTTTGTTGTGTTTGAGTTTTTAAGTATTAATGACATTAAATTTAAATATTTTTGGAGCTTATATTCCCATTCTACTGTAATATTTTTGTAGCATACTTGTTCCAATAGTTACATTGTTAATTATAATAAATTACTAATTTTCCATTGTTTTTTCATTTTAGATTTTAAACTTATGGTTTTGTTTTGGTAAAGTATAATTTAATTCAGAATAAAAGTTGTTTTAAACATCTTAAGACAATAGGGTAAAAACCATAATTTTTTCTATGGTGTTCAAAACCTTCACAAAACCTAATATTATGGTTGATTTTAGTGACTATCTTGTGAATATAAAACTATGTTACATTCCATCAGTTTTAAATTGCATCTAACTAGATTTTTCTTAATTGAAAGGAATTTTGTTATAAAGATATAGTGCTCAATATTTGGTTCATGTTATATTTTTTCTCTTATTGTTTGTGAAATGGTGAACAAAATAATTCATGTCCTTACTGTTAAAAACTGCACTTTTTTGAAGTATTGTGTCAGCATTTAAAAAAAAATCTAGGGAGTAGAATTTCTGATTACAATTTAATTTTAGTGCTGATATAATATTAAATTTTGCATGGATGCATTATACAAAATACATGCTACAAAATTGGCTGATATTAGTAATTTCATCGCAATAAAGAAAACAGAAAAGAATTTATTCACAAAGAACACAGTTAGTCGGATTATTGGTTATTTTTTTTATATTCTAGCAGTGATTCCACTAGACTTTGTAAGTACTACATTCAAATGTTTGAGTCCTTTTTTTACTAAAAACCAAAACAAAAAAAAATTTGTATGAGCTGTAAGCAAAATATTCAAACAAACCAAAAAAACATTTGAAAAACAAAACATTCTTGTTGGCACAGAGGCTTTGATGAAATCATCTCTGAAGATACAAACCAAACTAAGGAATAGCCAGGGAAAGTTTTAAATGCAGTAAAATCCTAATGTAACATGCATTGTATATTAGAGAATCTCACTATTAATAGTGATTGCAGGACACCATCGATAATCTTCTATTAAACTTACAAAAATTCTCTTAACTAACTAAAAGAATTGTGTTTTAGTGTAATTTAAATGTGTAATTTTTATTAAGCAATTTTTCTTTCTAAGCATAATTTAAAGTATTTTTTCTAAGGATAAACTTTATATGTTATGAAAATTTGATGCGAGAATAATGCAAAAATAATTGTATATAATATGTTAAAAATAATTTTTTAAATCGGTAAGAGTTATTCACATCTATCTCATTGTTTATAATGCATCGATATTTCACAATCAAAGTATATCTTACTTTATTACCGATGTGTAAGTCGACAACCTGGTTTTCATACATTTTTAGGGGTTTAAAAAGTTTACTTATACACTGATATATATGGCAATTAAATCTATTTATTTCTTATCCCTTTCATTGATTTTTTTCCAATATTAAAATTGTAACTGTAACAAGAAGTCTGTTAAAACATAACTTTTTACTGCTATTGAGAGCTCTTGTTAAAATGATCTTTTATCTCTAATATCAATCAAAAGAGACATTATTATCTATTTGATAAAAAGCAATTTCTTGGAATTTACTAAAACTTAAATGGGCTATATTAGAATATTTAAAAGTCAGAATTCCACTCCCTAGTGTTGGTGACACATTTGATGAGTAATATTACCTCACTTATATATCCACTTAAAACTTGTAGCGATAGGACATATTATATCAAAAATGTGTTAAATGTAGTCTTTTATTAAGACGTATTACTCAAATACAAGTTATTGTACTTATTGATATCTATTGCAATTGCGTAGCATTAGGTATTCTTAGAAATAAATCAAGGTTACGTAGTTAAGTTTTGAATATTATATATATTTTTATTGAAATGAAGAAGAAAAAATGAATTTATCTAAATTCATTTAAATGTTTTTATGAATGTCTTTTTATATGTCAGTCTGTACTTAAAAATATTGAACTACTTGTGTATAGTTTAAATAATAAGTGTTATAAAATATTTATTTAAATTTAGGGATAACTTTCCTTAAAGTTGTGCACAATACAAATTAAAAAGTTTTTTTGATACTTTAATAAGAGTAATTCCTATATAATGTATAATTTATTTGCATTTTGATATTGTTCAACATTTTAAACATTAATATTTATTCTCTAAAAACTGTGACCTTTAAATGCAAAATATTAAGTAGAGCAGCAGAGGCAACTTTTTTTTTTTTAACATGATAAGGTTCTATTTCAATAGCTCCAATCCATTCTACCTACTGCAAAACAGTTATTTTTGTTCAAAGCTGCACTTATACTATTCTAATCCTGCTGCATTTTATCCTACAGGGTTCCCACAGGTCAGGGAGAACAGGGAAAACCTGGAATTGTCAGGGAATATTATTTTCTCTCTGAAAATCAGGGAAAGCTGCATTTTTTTAAAAAAAAAACTGGAATATTCCCTATAACATACCTAGAAAAAAGCCAGTTTTGAAATTGTCCGTAACAGTAATCAGTTATTGAGATTCGAGTTAAGTAATTCTAACATCTATTACAATTATTTGTTGTAAAAATTTCACATTTTAGTCATACTGAAATGTTCCCATCCTCATTTAAATGATATTTTTTTGCACAGAATATCTAATATTTCACATTACAAATAAAAGAATCAAAGTTTTCTGTTGAAAATATGGTCTCAATTTTTATTGAAATTTACCTGGTATACCTGGAAAGTCAGGGAATTTTTTTTTTCTGAAATAGAGAGGGAACCCTGATCCTAGCTTAGCTTCCTAATAAATGTTTTTTAGAAAGTATACCAAATCTGTTACAGAAGAAGCAATTTTAACAAATTGGTGCTAAACTTAAATGTGGTGGATATAATACATGTTGCAACTTTTTTTAATGTGGTAGAATTCTGTTTGCAAATTTTTATATGTAAACATTTTAGAAATTCTGTCTTTATTATCTTTATCTCTATTACTTTTTTTTTATTGGTGTGATTACTGTTTCAAATACTACAATCCATCTTAGCAGCCCCAAATCAGGTATTTTTACTTAAAGCATTAATCCTATCTCATTTCATTCATGCATTAATAATTTTTCAGACGGAACCAATATTATCCACGCACACAAAATTTCCTTTTGCAAAAATGGGATGTTGTTATTTGTTATAGCATTTTTATCATTGGTCAATTATTTACGTTACAATAAAAAAAAAACATAAGGTAAATTATTGTTTCAAATAGCACTTAAAGTATATGAATACTTTAAATTATGCCAAAAATAAGAAATTTTTTCTACAAGGCCAATAAAATGTCTTGTTCCACACTACTTTACCATAATTACATCAGTGCTATTATCAACTTGTATTTGGAGTAATTAAAAAAGGAGAAATCAACAATGAAAAACTTTATTTTGCAGATTAAAAAACTGAAACATTTTTTGAAAATATCAAAATGCAATAAAATTACATTTTATTTATTTTTATAGATATAAGTTTCTATTGTGAAAAGGGTGCAAAGAGCATTTTCTAAAATATAATTATCATCCTATTGTATTTTTGGCAATATTTTTCTTATGATTAATATTGCCATAAAAGATACTGTTTAATTTTTATGTTCAGATATCGGAGTAATAGGGCATGCTGGCATAAGTAATACGTTGGTTTTCTACACATATTTTTTCTACATTAAGTGAGCATTGAAGACTAGTATTGCTACTGTTAAAGCATTGATGAAAGTGCTTCTCCATCTATAGTAGTTTCCAAAGAGAATGTCGAGCAAATTTTCTTCTTTTCTACCAAAAAAATATTTTTGATGAATCAAAAATATTTTTTTCCTGTAAAGCCCTATAAAGGTTAAGGGATTTCCAATAGTTTGAAACGGTAGGATATTTATAATTATTACATTTATGTGCTGAAATATTAACGAAAATAATTTAAATAAAAAATTAAGCAGTAAAATTGCCTTTTTTTTTTTAAGTAGTCATGTTGGATCAAATTGATATTGGCCAAGCTGTCAAGATATTTTTTTATCACAATTTTGATTAACAATTTATTTTTTTACAGGTGAATAACTTTCCCAAGTAATTTTTTTTTCTTTCAAATTATGTGTTCAAAATAACATTATAGTTAACTTGTTAAATTTTATTTTTTAATTAGCTTGTATAAGTTTAATTAACTTAATTGGTAATTATATGTAATTAGTATTTGCTATAGTTAATAACTTTTGTTTGTTGTACTGATTCTACTAAATTACTGTGATTTGCTAATTTATCTCCATAAACTGGATAAGTTCACATAGAGACTATTAGTCACTATTAAAAAAAACATATTTTTAAATTCAACATAAAATTTTAATGTTTTTTTTATAATGAGTTTATAATAATGCAGTTCAATTCTTTGCATTATTCGTATTTGATTTAAACAGCAAGAAAAAAATGGAGAAATTAAAAACTAAAAAGCATGCTAACAAGCCATGTTCTCTCCTATATATAATATATTATCTACTCTATTTTGGTTATAACACTTGTATTGTTAGTTAAATAAAAAAAAAGAGTTGGATTATTCAAAATATAATTGAAAGGAAAAAAAATTAAATGTTCATTTGTTTTCTGTTCTTAATTTCTTTTTAATACCTACTAAGCAGCTCTTTCTTACTTCTGATTAGATGATAGAGTGTGTTAATAGTTGATAGTTGGAAGATACTTGGAATGTGATAAAGCTTAAATTGAGTTTATTCATCAAAGTATATTATTCATTTTAAAATGTATCAAATTATTTACTATAAAGATATCTTTACTAAGCACCTGTATAACAAATTAAAATATGTCCCTTTTATTCCTCATCAGTTTTAATTAGTAGTTTTATTGTTCTTGAAATTTAAATAATAAAGTGTTTTTCGAATGTTAGATTACCTTCTGATTTTCCTTAGATTAATTTCATTATTATCTGAAATTTTACTCTATCAACTGCAACTTTTTTCATATTAATAACACAACTTATTTAGAAGATATTATGAATCATGTCTACAATATTTTTTTCTCTGGTTCAGTTGCTTACAACTTTAATTTTGATTACTTTTTGCCAACATTGTAATTACGTTTGAATTTACTCTTACCTTTTAGTTTAAACTAAGTCTTATATTTGTTTTGTTGTTTATTTTTCTTTAAATTTTCTTTTTTTGGAATTAATTAATTTTATAAGCTCATAGATTTTTTAGATTCTTTTACATATCCTCTAACTACTAAGGAATTTCCATAGCTTTAAAAAATATTTTTCCCAGTGGTAACGGAAGAATAATAAATTAGATTATTTTATAAGTTAGAGTTAAAAAGTTATGCAAAAGATCAGTTTGTCTAATGATTATGCTCTAAAATCCTGACAAAAGTTTTGTGAAAATTTTATTGGTTTTAAAATTTCTTGCAACAGCTCACTATCACTTAAAGAAATATTTTGTATGAACCTCAAATGTTGGAGAAAATGTTCTTTTAGTTTAATGATTTTCAATTAAGTTGCGTAGCTTTTTAAACTAATCTTGAAAATTACTGAAATCTAAATTATGAAACTAACAAAAAATTAACTAATAATGTATAAAATTGTTACTTTCTAATTATTTATTTGTATTCAACCTTATCATTGCTGTGAGAACTTGCAAGTTCATATGTGTTACAAGAAATTAGACAATATTCTAGAGATATACCTTGTTACTGTTTAGATACAAACAATAAATGAGAGAATTTAATGCACAAAATACATGCAATGATTTAAATAATCATTTTTTAAAATCTAAAATTATTTGTAACCATTATTATATCTTAAGAACTTGCTTGTGCTCTTCATAATTTAACGAAAGATAAAATACTAATTTAAGATAACTGATAAGATATTTACTGATAAATCTTAATGCAGCTGTATTATGAACTTCAAATATTTTTAAAATGTGATTAAAGCGTGCATATATTGTTTAAGAAAAGCAAGCTAATTTTGCAACAAAAAAAAGTTTAAATAGATTTTGACCTTTTCATTTCACTCAAGGATTAGTTTTTACACTGATTGAAACTCATTTAAAATGTTCATGTTAATATCATATAATTGTTTAGTAGAATTTTAAATTATTCACTTTTTGCATCAAGATTTAATGGTATCCTGCAGTGCAGGTGTCTAAATCCATCATATATTTAAGATCTGGCAGTTCTCTGTAGTATGTTCTGAAATTTCTGTAAATTTAATATCTATAAAATCAAGTTTTTCATCAAATATTTGTTTATATATTACTATACAAATACTAATTTTTAAAAACTGATGCTCATGTAATGAAATTCTAAGTGAACAAAAATGAGCCATAAGAAACAATATGCTAGGAACATAAAAAATTTCTATTTATTTATTTCATTTTATTTCTGTCTTGTTAAATTTTGGTGCATTAGCCAAAGGGCAACATGCAGAAAAGAAAAAAAATCAGAATTTTCTTACAATCATAAAAATTTATCTTGCTTTAGATTCAAATTAACTTTATCATTATCTCAAAAGTTTAATTTCACCTAAATTGGATCAGTAATTTTCTATCAATGGGGCACAATGCAGCTTTTGGATCACCAAGTATTACATTACTTTATGTAATGAATCATTCAATCATAAATTGGTGGAGAAATGTTTTCAGTGATTTAAACTGCATCTTTGGAATCTGAAGTGGATCATTATCCACCTAGATGCACAAGCATTCTTTTTTTCTTCCCTAAATGCATTCTTTTTATTTAATATGGTTGTCAACACTACTAGTTCATCTAATGTAGCTAGAAAGTTATGATAAATAGCTTCAAATGGGGTTGCAAAGAGAGAAAAACCTACTTGGTCGCCACACTTGGCGAAGTTTCCCTGAAATCTTGATGACTTTCTCTATGCGGAAGGCTTTTTGCTTGCAAATAGATTTTCTGTTATTATTTTGATTCCACTATTAATACATTGTGTATTCCATTTTATTCTTTTTTTGAACTATGACAAATCAGCTTCATTAAATAAAATTATAAATTTGATTAACACTATCTGTTAAAGAAGTTTCTTTGTTGTCATGTTACACTTAGTATTTCAGCCTAGAAACACAACAATATTTTGATCAAATTATTGATCAGCTGGTTCTGTTTTTTAAATTTAATTATAAAAGCAAGAAAAAAGATAACATGCCTAAAATATTACTGGATAAAGATATATTGTCAAACCTACACAAGTAAGTCTTGGAGAAAATTATTGTCTTTTTTTTTTCTTCCTGTAAAGCTTAGCTCTCTACTGATGACAGTATGCTGTAACTCTCTCTCTACGTTAGATAAAAAGACTATTGTTCAATAGAATTTTTTCTCTCTACCTGGATTCTTTCACAAAGTAGAAACTGTTAGTTTTTGATTTTTCCACTTTTTCCTGTCATTCTCAATGATTAAGCGCAGACAATGAAGATGATATGAATCTCGTATTATGTATAGTACAATTATATTCAGCATTTTTCTATATTCTCTTTATGCCTGCCAAATACTTAAAAATGTTGTTGTTAGTGATTAGTGTGCAGCTGATATCAGCTAATTGTTGATTTTGTGTTTACTGGTGTAGTTTGTTTCAAGTTGCTGTTATGCAAATCTGGATATAAAGAAATAAAGCTTTAATAGTTTTTATACTTTTGTTTCGCTGGCTCATTTACTTATAAACACTCATCCATACCACATTTAGTTCAAATGTACATACACATCTTGACGCCCGGTGGCTAAGTGGTAGCGCTTCGCGCTCCGTGCCACATGTCCTGGGTTCGATCCTCGGGCCGGGCAAGGTTGACCCACTTTCATCCCTTCAGTGGGTCGATAAATGAGTACCAAGCATGCTTGGGAACTAAACACTGGGGGTTTCGAGTTCGGCTGACCACCTGACCGGAACATCTGCTCCTGCACCCCAGAGCCCAAGGTCAAGAAAACTGAGATGGGCACAGTAGGCATTGGCCCTCTATGGGCTGTCGCGCCACTGAGTTTAGTTTAGTACATATACATCTTGGTAATTGTGATACAAGTTTGTACATTTCATGAATAAATTTCTAAAAATTGTTAAAATGGATAAAATATAAATTACAGCAGATTCTAGGTAATTCAAACTCTAAGTGGAAGGAAGAATAGTTATAATTATCCAAGTTTTGAATTAATTTTGTTTATAAAAATTACTATAAATATTGTAACACTAAATTGCAAGTTGGCACACTTTGCAAGTTGGATAATATTCATAAACTCGGAGTTTTATGAATGATTTGGAGCATTATGATGAAAAGCCGAATTTTCGAATTGTTGAGAAGGGCATTTTTAATTATTAAACATTACGATTTCCTCATACACAGTTAGATATTTTTGTGTATTACGCTGTTATCAAATGAAAATTCTTAAAACTTGCCAATTATCTTTCCGGAAATAAGGATTAGTTTAGAGTCGAAACATCACCCTTGGAATTGCTTACCATTTTACTCCACCAAACCCTTAATTTTTGCAATTAATTTGCACACACACTCTGGATTCATTTGGATAAGTATTATAGCTTAATTTTACCTAATCTTGATGATTGAACACCACGATTTCCATGTGGGCAATTAAATATTTTTGTGTATTGTATTGTTATCAAATGAAAATTTGTCAAGTATTTTTCTGGAAACAATACTGAGAATTAGTTTGATGTAGAAACATCATCATTGAAAAAGATATGACTTATTTCATTACACTGCACAGTGGGCCAGCATCCAAGGTTTCGTGGCCAAAATTAGTATTTCGATAAAATTTGTTTCAAAATTTGGGGGTTTTTAAGTGCAGGTAAATTGAATTCATAGTTGAAATTTTGAAATACACTAAAAATACCAATAAAAAAACAAACAAAATGGCGGCTGAAATATGGCAAGCAAAAATAATAAAAAAATAATATACTAAGTTTAAATAATTAAATATAGCAATGAAAATATAATAATTTTCGTAATTTTATATTAAAAATGAAAAGCAAATTATATTTCCGAAATATTACAAAATAACGCGAAAACATGAAGAAAAAAAACATAATTTTTGTTTTTCGGTATATTTAGTCCACCTTTGCAAAATGGGGCAGGTTTTTTCGAAAGAAGAAACATCAAAGAAGACAACAGCAAAAAAGTTTAGGTAATTACCTCGTGGTAAGAGACATTCTAGAAATGCTGAGGTCAAATACAAAGAGGCAAGAAAGAAGGAGAAGAGAATTCATAAAACAAAGAAAAAGGCATTTCTCGAGGATCTTTTAAAAAATTTTGAACATTTAAGGGGATCTAATGAAAGTAGAGCTTTCTTTCGGGAAATAAACCTAGGACAAAAGGAATTCAAACCCAACTACCGCATGTCGTGATAAGAATGGAGCAATCTTGACTAACAAAATGCAAGTATTGGAGAGATGGAATGAGCATTTTTATGAACTGCTGAATGGAGTTAGCGATGAACATGAACCACCTACAGAAGACATTGGAATTTTTAACCAACATATTGTGGAACCACCAACATTAGAAGAAGTCAATGACGGAATAAAAAAGCTAAAGGACAATAAAGCACCAGGCCCTGGTACGAGCTATATGGGAGCAAGAATTAATCCCTGAAGAGTGGAAAACTAGCATGACCTGTGTGATACATGAGAAAGGAGATATACTGGATTGCGCAAACTACAGAGGAATTAACTTGCTTTGTACAAGTTATAAAGTATTTTCTAACATCCTTTTCAAAAGACTCTCCCCACTTGTCGAGAATATAATTGGAGATTATCAGGCCGGATTCAGGAAGGGGCGATCCACCTCAGAGCAAATTTTTAACATCCGCAAATTTTGGAGAAGACAATAGAATTTGGTATTGACACGCACCATCTGTTTATTGATTTTAAAACAGCCTACGATAGTGTTAGCCGAAAAACTCTAATATCAGCCCTAAGAGAATTTAATATACCGACACAGTGAAACCAAACTAAGTGACACTAAGTGAAACCAAAATCATGGTCAAGATACAGAATAGTCTTTCCCATCCAATAGAAATTAAAAAAGGTGTACGACAGGGAGATGCCTTGGCATGTCTCCTCTTTAATCTAGCATTAGAAAAAATAGTAAGGGACTCAAACATCAGCACCCGAGGAAATATCTTCAACAAATCAGTTCAAATATTGGCTTTTGCTGATGATTTAGATATTATCGCTAGAACGCAGACAGCACTAACACAATCCTTTTTATGTCTGGAGAAGGAAGCCATTAAGATGGGATTAAGAATCAATGAAAATAAAACTAAATATATGCCCTGCACAAAAGCTGGATATAAAGAAACACAGTTTCAAATTGGAGCATACAAATTCGAAGCCGTTGATAGCTTCACCTGTTTGGGGTCTAAGATTAACAACAAAAACGACACTACACAAGAAATACACACGAGAATCACGATGACCAATAAGTGTTTTTATGGTCTAAGAAAATATCTTAAGTCAAGCCTAATAAAAAGAAAAACAAAAGTGTTACTCTATAAATGTCTTATACGATCAGTGCTTACATACGCATGTGAGACCTGGACACGTGGAGATGAAAATATGATAGCTAGATTTGAGAGAAAAATAATGCGAAGCATTTTTGGTGGAATAAGTAAAAACGGTACATGGTTTAGAAGATCAAACACGGAACTTTACAAGAACCTGATGTCATTCAATTTATCAAAATTCAAAGGATTAAATGGGCAGGCCACATTATAAGAATGGAGGATAGCAGGACAACCAAAAATATTTTCTATGCCAGGTCAACAGGTACAAGCAAAAGAGGACGACCAAACCTAAGATTTTTAGACTGCCTTGAAAAGGACCTACAAATTATAAAGATATTAAACTGGAGAACCTTGGCTAAGGGAAGAATGTCTTGGCATAGGCTTGTTGAGAAGGTCAAGGCCCATCCTGGGCTGTCGTGCCAATGAGAAGAAGAAGAATTACCTCGTGGAAGTTTTTGGAAATAAGTTTCGAAAGTGAATCAAACATGGTAAAATGTCAAATGATAAGATATAAATTATAAGTTTGTCAAGAGTATTAACTAATCCAACAAACTGAAAAACTGTACTATAATTTCAGACTAATTACTCTGATAAAAATGCAACAGTAAGGTGAAATTCCTATCTATATTTCTGAAATATAAATTTAAAAGTTACATTAAAAAAAAATTTTTAAACATATTTTTCACTACATTGTACTCTCGTCGGTCCAAAATGTTAATTATAATGTTTGGAATGACTATGAATAATTTGGGCGATATTAAACCTGCCTACACATATTTTAGTTGAAAATTTAATTTTGACTTTTGGCCAAAGATCATGGTCTTCTTGCCCACTGTGCACTGAACCCTTCACACACACGTAGGACTCGTTTACATAATTCTGTGATAACTATTAGCTTGAATTTTTTAATTCTGCATTGGCTTTGTTTTTCAAAATATATTAATTACTAAAAGATGGATTAAAAAAGTTGAGAAAGCAGTTAAATTTAATGGTTTCCTTCTGAACTGCTTTTCAACAAACCAAAATTGCGGAGGAAATTTCGAATTGAAGATCAGATTTTAACATTAGTAAGAATTCTTGATACTAGGAAGTAAATGGGGCATCAAATCATCCAAGATTTAAAATCAAGATCCGCTGTATTTTTATTTTGCGTTTAAATTAACTTATTTTCATTTATACCTTCCTTTTTACCATTATTATCCTTATTCTAATATGATTACCTGATTAAAAACTTCATTCACCTCAGAAATATATAAATAGGAAATAACAGTCGAAATGTTTCAAGCGCTGAAGAACAGGCGCACATTTTCAAAACTTACCAGGCGTGAATGCGAAGAAACAGGTGATTTGAAATATAAAACGTAAAGTCGCCTTTAAAAAATAAAGATGAGAAACAAAAACTGGAAAAAATAGTAGCCGAGAAAAAGAAAAAGATGAAAAATAGAACAAGAAAATCTATATTTGATAAGAGGGGCAAATCAGGGTAAAATGCATTTCCACTCGCTATGGAGAGGTCGTAAGGAACTAATATCGTTATCTAGTTTAAGTTTTTGTTTCTTACCTTTATTTTCTCTTTGACAACTTTATGTTTTATAGTTCAAATCATTTTTGTTCCTTCTCTTTCACGTCTGCCAAGTCTTGAAAAGGGGAGACTGTTTCTGAGTACTTGAAACATATCGACTGTTATTTCCTATTTATATATTTTTGAAGAGAATGAAGTTTTTAATCTGGTTACATCTTAAAACTTCAGTTTCTTGGGATTATTTACTTAACATGAAGTGTTTAGTTTTATTACAAAAAAAGGACAATTATTAAATAGACAAGCAATATTATGTAATAAATATATTATCAGAAATAAATAACAATTAACAAACATGAATTACGATGAAGCTAAATTAAGAATTGAATGGAGGAAAAGATTACGAAGAAAATAACGGGCAATCTTCGAAAATATGATTTAAAAAAAGTCAAACTCCATTTCGCTGATTTTTCCAATTGAAGGGAACAATATTTCCAGTTCGTGCTGCTTCTTCGCATGCTGAGGCTATTTTACTATTAGCAATTATTGAATCCAGCTCAATTTCACAAGGTTCAGTACCTAAAAAAAAATTAAATAATTAATTTCTTGAGAAGCTTATTTATTATGAGTAAAATAATAATCACCTTTAGTTTTAAATAAAAGTTATAAGAAAAGTAAAATATTTTGGTCAGTCACGTAGTATTCCGCTTGTGTACGTTTTGCGCAAGCGCTGTTGAGGACTTAACTTTTTCTGTGGTAACTGCGCTGCGCAGAACTATGCTACGTTAAAGTTCTTTGCAATCTATTTTTCTACAATGATTCTAATAGAGCCGCGATGGCTCGGGGGATAGAGCGTTCGCTTTCCAATGCGGTGAACCGGGATCGAATCCCAGTCGATACGAATTCCGCATCCGGCTTGCACCGACCACAGTGCCGACGTGAAATATTCTCAGTGGTAGACGGATCATGGGTTAAAGTCCCCTTGTCGTCAAGCTAACCGTGGGAAGTTCTCGTGGTCTTCTTCTCCATGTCCGCTCCATCAAAAAATCCTCCACGAAGACAAATTTCTCCCAGTACTCGATCCAGGAGTTCCCTTGTCTTCTGGATTGGGTTCAAAATTATAAGGCTACGGAGTTGAACATTAGTAGTCGTAAACACGTAAAATTGGGTCGGCTGTTCAACGACGGTTATAAAATAAAATAAAATGATTCTAATAATACTTAAAGTAAAAAATAGAAAAATAAGCAAAATAGCTGCGCCTCTTTAGTCAACTTTTCCATCATAGAATGCAATCAAAATAATTTGTAAAGATTACTTTTCTAGAGTAGGAAGTATAAATTAAGATATGGAAATTTTTATAATTAAAAACAATTTTTTCTAAAAAATCTTAAAAATATGTGTAATTCTACAAGACATATTGCAAAGCTAATAGTAAGTTTCATACAAGTATACATTTTATACATTTTAACCAACTTTACTTCTTTGAATTTACCATTCATTATACTAAGAAAAAAAGTAATAACTTTGATAAAACATTAATTGCTTTTATAAAAAAAATTTTAAAGCATCAAAAATGTTACTTGTTTTTTTTTTGTTTTCTTTGATTTATTATCTATCTCAACACCTTTTAACACTTTTTTTTTTCTTCTCATTTTTAAAATCATCTTTTATACTTAGTTGCCTTATACTGGTGTGTTATCCCCTTGCATGATCTTATTTTTCTATGGTTTATTTACTATGGATTTAATTTTGTAGTTGCCGCCAACCCACTTATAGTGGTGAGTTATTGTGTAACTTATTTGCTTGTATCATTGCCTATTTGTTGTAGTTTGCTTGTATCATAGCCTATTATGTTGTGAAAGTTGATCTTTCTTAAATTGTGAATTTAAAAATTACGCCGTATGCCCTATTAAGGGCAGGTCGGTTATTTTATTTTTATTTTAAAGCATTAAAAAGTAAAGAAAAATCTGTTCGTATCATTGTTGCAAAGATTTTAAAAAAAATTATTATATAATATCATATAGATTTTATTGTGTAATGTAATTTTCAATTCAAAACAATACTGAGCTCAATATCATACAAGGTCCATTATTACCTTATGTTGAGAAAATGTATGAAATTGTATTTTTTAATTTTTATTTATCAAGAACTATTCGATGGATTTTTTTTTTTTTTGATTTTTTTTTCATTTTTAACTATGTAAATCTCAATTATCTATTCCTTCTCAATTAGATAGCTTGGCAATCTGCGAACAAAATCACGCACTTTACAGTAGAACAGTTTGCAAAGTGCCGACACCGCGCACTACCGGTCCCTTTTCGGAAAGGGATCAGAATTTTTATTACTTTGTTCCTTTTAGCGAAAATATCACGATAAATTCTGCCGACGGAAAAGAGTTAAAACTTATTTTGTCATTCATCACTGAGATCCATTTAAAATTTTAATACTCTTATTTTATGTGATGAAGTTCCGAATTCTGATTGACGATAAATTCCCTTTGGCGACAAGTTTTGCTTGCCGCAATCTCGAAACAATTAAAACTTGAATTTTCATGAGTCACAGAATTCCTTTAGAGATTTAAGTTGAAAAATTGCTTGAATTTTGATTGCAAGATTCCGTTGTCACAAACACGACAGGGAGTTAGTTAAAACTTAGTAAAACGATGCTGAACAGGAAATGCACTCTTCTTTAACTACATTTTTTTTTTTTAAATCATAGGGTTTGACAAGATAAGATTTGATCTTAATAATTAAATAAGAATCAGTATCAACGTTAGACTTCTTTACCTTGTGCAACATTTAGAAAGTGTTCCATTTCTTGCGCATATGCTTCTTGATAACGTGATGCAAATGAAAAGAAAATAGGTACTGCAGTTGTACCTTTTCCTGTATGACTCCTAACACCAGTAGGTCTTTGTTCTCCGTTACACAACATACCATTTGAACCAAACACCTAAAATTAAACGAATTTATTCATCAGTATAAATATTTTAAACCTTTGCTTACGGTATACCATGTTGTACCATCACATGTGGTCCACATGTTGTACCATCATATGTGGTCCTCATGCTGTACCAGTCGTAAGCAAAAGTTTAACACGCACTCTGAAAACTTGAAATATCCAAAGTAATAAAAAAATAATAATAAATAGTGAAAACACTTAGAATTATATTTTGATCAGACTTTTTGTTAAATTGAAATCTTCTTATCCAATGTGCTCATCTAATAAGATGAAATGGAGGCATTCCGTTTTAAAACCAACCAGGTTTTGTTTGTTTTTTATTGAATTGTACTTTTTCTTCAAATTACATACCATATAATATTAAACTTTTAAGTAGATTTTGAAAAAGTAAACTGCTCCTTTTCCATCTGGATTTGAGATATACATTTATAATTTCTAGAATAAGAAAATATTTTTTTTTTACCTCTCCTATAAAATTTCTAACTTAGTTACAACTTTGGGTTAAGTATAAGACTGTAGTTTGAGTATTAATATATTTATAACATAATTAATAATCAATACATTTATACCAAAATTTAAATATAGCATCCTCAAAAATAGGGAAACAGACTGAATTTAGTAAACATTATACTCAATTTGGCTAACATAAAATCTTAGAGCTATGAGTTTTTTAAGTATGGAGCACTGTAGTTCGAAAACTTTCTTTTTTAGTTTTCAAGAATTGATTAAGATATAAAATTTCGTATTCTCAAAATTGCGGGTACATTTCTGGATTTATTTGAAAATGCATTCTATTTTATTTAAACAAAATTTGAAGCTATATCTCTTATGTTTAGTATAGTTATTTGGTTGCTTTATTTATATTTGAAATATATCTCGGATTAATTCTATTTCGATTAAATTATTCATTTTAAAATTAATGTACAATCACACAAATCAGTTCTTCAGAATCAGTTAAACATCATTTCATATTTAAATATTAAATAATTCGATATTGAATTCAAATATGAAATCAAATTTTGTTTAAAAAACCAAGTGGATTCCCGTAGTCTCTATTAAAATATGGCATTTATTACTGCAGTCAGTTCATCGAACTTCGCATTGTTATTTTCTAAAAGAATAAACTAAGCAGATTTAGAGGAAGAAAACAATGACATTTGAAGTAAAATGAGAAAAAAATTAGAAGGAAAACTAGGACCGATGTTTTTGAGATCCATTTTTTTTTAAATATATCCAGATAGGTTTGCCTTTGAAGCATTTAAAAAAATTAAGTAGTGTCAATTAGTATTACGATTACTTTATCTCAAAATTCGTGCTCGGTTCAATGCATGATTATAATATGAATATAAATAAAAAGTAAAGCAGCAACCACACGTCAGGAAAGGGTCATGAAGGTTAAGGTTTCACACAATTTCGAGACCAACGGCAAGCGATAATTTAGTTATGTATTAGGGATATCTATGGTTTTACAAAAATTGTCATTAATTATTTTGTTTCCCAAAATCACCTTATATCACTTTCAAAAGAATAATTTAAATAATCGTTTGATACCGGGGAAAGAAAGAAAGAAAACAAAATGAAATGTCTGAAGATTTTATTTACCTCTACTCTTTGATCATAACCGTAGACAGCACATCTACTAAGATCTATGTTGGCAAGAGCTCCACTGGGAAATTTCATCGTAATTACTACGGTATCGTGGTCATCTATTCCTTTTATATCTTCGTAATTGGCGTGGGCGTAAGCTGAAACACTCTCAGGATACTCTCCCAAAATCCAGCAGATTAAATCGATATCGTGTACAGCACAGTCATGGAATATACCTCCTGTAAGAAATACGTTCACGATATTAAACATGTTTCTGCAATTTCGTCAGTTTTCTATTTCATTAATGGAGTCGTTTAAATCCAACACACTTAAAAGCGAGAGACACGAAGAAGGCGAATTTCCATGTAAGAAGGCAAATTACCATATAGGAAGGCGAATTACCATATAGGAAGGCAAATTTCCATAGAGGAAGGCGAATTACCATATAGGAAGGCAAATTTCCATAGAGGAAGGCAAATTACCATATAGGAAGGCAAATTACCATATATGAAGGCAAATTACCATATGGGAAGGCAAATTACCATATAGGAAGGCAAATTACCATATAGGAAGGCGAATTACCATATAGGAAGGCAAATTTTCATAGAGGAAAGCAAATTACCATATAGGAAGGCGAATTTCCATATAGGAAGGCGAATTTCCATATAGGAAGGCGAATTTCCATATAGGAAGGCAAATTATCATGTATGAAGGCGAATTACCATGTAGGAAGGCAAATTACCATATAGGAAGGCAAATTACCATATAGGAAGGCGAATTACCATATAGGAAGGAAAATTTCCCTCAATCGTTTGCCGACTTGCGCCAATTCTTTCTTTGATTAAAAAAAATTATGAAAACAAAATTCTTATTTTTATTTATTTATTCATAATTAGGTTTCCTTGTAGAAATTAGAATGAAACGAATGCCGTGGCTACTCAGTGTTAGATAATCGGATTCCAGTCCGGAGGGGCTGGCGTTTGATCCTCGACTTCACCTACCAAGACCTACCAAGTACATGAGAAAAACATGCTAGTAAAATCTATAGTATCGAAAGTCCTGTGGTCAGTCGCTAAGCAAAACCATAGATCTGGAGAATATTTCCTACCCCTTAAAATCCGTGTCTAAATTGAGGAAGTGGCCTCATGAATGAATAATGCTGTCAGCTATCCTCGGAGCTCTTAGCTAAAACGTACTTTCACCTTTTCGGTGCTATCTTGTCAAACGGAAGGCGCGCCTTCCTGTTTTAATTCGCACAAGGCGAATAGCTGACGATCTTGATTTGTCCAAGTGGCGTTAGAAACAACAACGTAACGAATAGAAGGAAAATTACTAATTTTACAGCTCTTGCTGTTAAATTTCCTTACACTATACACACGTTTTATACAATGCTAACTATTTATCATTACTTTAATTTATAAATCATATTTTGAGCATAAAAATCTAATTTCGTCTGGTTTAAACTGACATTAATTTTTTTACTCAGCCTTACTCATCAATGAATAAAGGTAATTAAATTCGATAACTAAGGCTTTAAATTCCAATTTCGCATCATATAAATTTTAATAGCTAAAATTGGCCATCATGTATAGAAATCAATAATATAAGTAATTAAACTAATTTACAAATCGCAAACTAATTGACCAAACAATTAATAACAATAACAATTTTTTTTAATTGTATTTGATTTTAATTTATGCAATATTTACGATAAATGGCAAAACTATATAAAAATAAACTAGTTGACAAACTGGTTTACCTGATATTTTTAAATATTCTAAGGGAGGTTTAGGTGAGTCCCTGCTGCAAGTTTTAACGATGTGTATTTTTCCGATCTCACCTGCATCAACTCTAGTTTTCAGATTCCTTACACCAGGGTCAAAGCGTCTAGAAAAAAAGAATAAATATTGTACAGTGCGTCAAAAAAAAAAAGAAAAAAGGACTATCCTGAATAACTTTTTATCTAATGATCGGATCTTCACGTTCCAGGATTTAATCTTAATGGTCAGAGAGGGTGACCACAAATATGGTAATTAATAGGTGCAAACCATATTGTAAGTTGCAAAATCAGATACAAAAACGTAATTTCTCTGAATAAACATACCTTCTTTTTTCGACGGATTCAGATTTCTAACCCCCAATATATAGGGGGTAGCTGTAATCTGGGAAATATAGTCCCAATAGTTTGGTCAGGAAAGCCTTCCAAAGTTTGGATCCCTTAATTTTACTTTTTGCGTATTAAGCTATATCTCGAGAACTTTTTAAACAAATTGAAGAACTTTTGCATATAGTTATAAAATACCAAGTATAATTCCATACAAAAAAAAAATTTTTTTTAGTAAATCTGTATTATTTTTATTATTTTACTTATTAACAGTCAGTTAACATTAAGGGGTCCAAACTTAGGACCACTCTTTTGACCAAGCTATGCGAACCCCATTTCCCGGATTGCGGTTACCCCTTACATTTCGGGGATCAGAAATCCGATTCCGTCTAAAAAAAGTTATGTTTATTCAGAGAAAGTATGTTTTTGTGCCTGATTTCGTAATTTAAAATATCTATTTTTCGTTACTAATACCCTTGAAGCTTTAAGGTTGAGTCATTTAGAACGTGCAGATCCAAAGATTCGATCCAAAGTTATTCAGGCTGTTCCGTTTATATTCTTATGCATTATGCATCAAACGCATACCCAGCATAAAAAAAATAAACAACAAAGTAAAGAAGAAGAAAAACGAATGTCAGAAGCTAATAAAATGTGGAAAAATGGAAGCGAAAATCAAAAAATAATTTTTAACGGAAACGTTTATGAATTACATTCATCTTACACTTAATGGTGAATTATGAGGCATCCAGAACCACAACTAAATCATCTGCCAACGCGTTTATAACATGTGAATTTATTTTTTACATGATTGATTCAACAAAAAAGGTACCATAAGCACGTGGCAAAAGTTTACTAACTTAAGAATGTTTTTTCTTCTATTTTTTAAAAAAGTAACAACTAGTTATAAAAAAGACAAGTTCCTATTTAATTTATTATTTAGTTTTATATTTGAATATTGAGCTTTAAATATCAGTTGGCCAACACAGCTATAAAAATAAAAATTATAATTTTTGATCTAAACACTGAATTTTCATACACTCGGTGCCGTGCAAAAATATACGACTGCCAAATTCTTTGTGATCTTAAAAATTATTATCGATCGAAGTAAGCAACCAGATAGTAAAAATCATCAAATCTAACCGAATAAATAATTAGATCAGATTATTACTATCCTCAGATTATTATTATTTAGATCAGATTATTACTATCCGCACGAGACTGTTAACCTTCAACAAGCCAGGTGGCAAAAAACGGGAAAGACTTAGATTCAAATGGTTTGATGACGTTGAGAAAGATTTGATAATATTAAAAGTGACCAATCGGGAACAACATGTATCTGATAGACCCGGTAGAATAAACTCGTTGCGTTGGACCTGCTGCGGACTGTAGTGCCAAGAAGAAGAAGAAGATATGTAATAATTATTATTTTGAGAAGCACATAAAAATATGCCAATTATTTCATACTCGGCGTTCCCGAGCCACCGGGAACACCGACTTTTAAGCCACCGGTGGCTTAGGAGATAGAGCGTTAGCCTTTTAATGAGGTGTCCCACGCTCGAATCCCAATGGTGACTGGTTGATACGAATTCTGTTTCCGGCACGCACCGACCACAATGCTGACATAAAATATTTTCAGTGGTAGACAGATTTTGGATTAGAATCTCCTTGCCGTTGTACTACCCGATGGAGGCTTTTGTGATTTTCCTCTCCATGTAACAAAAATGCGGGTTAGTTTCTTTAAAACGTCTCCCACAAAAGCTAGTTTTACCCAATGCTTGATCCAGGAGTTATCTTGTTCATTACAAGGCTACGGAGTAGAACATTAATTGCCATAAATTCTGAATTGTGTCAGCCGTTCAACGCTGCTTATGTAAAAAAAAAATATATGTATTATTAATTGATATGATGTAAAAATTTACACATTTTAAGAGTCAAAAAACGTCTACCCTCTAATTAAATTAAATAAGTATAAATAATCAATAATTATTTAAAATTTTGTCTGAAACTGTCTTTTGGATAACTCTTTTTTTTAAGAAAAAAAAAGTTCTAGTGTTTTTTTTTTTCTTAATAAAAAGAATACAGATTTTCCGGGGGTAAATATTATAGTATACAAAATGGATTTATTTTGTTATTTTGTTAAATTCTGGAGACACCAGTGGTGGAAGATACTTAGTCTTTAAGGGTTTTTAGAATGGAAGACAGTTCCAAGACGATTTGTTAATAAGTAGTCTGAAATACTGTAGAAATGTAAGATACTACAAAAAAATAAAAACCCTGCCTTTTGGTAGAAAATTAAAACGTTAAGAATGTGAACAATATGTAGTAGTACTTTATTTACGTCACTCTATAACTGCGCAGGGTAGGCTATATTTGAGGGTGCCCCTTGATTCTCGCCACGCTGTGATCGCGGTTGATGGCCAAGCTGGGATATGTTGAAACCCAATCGTGATTCTGATTGGTTCAGATTTTAGCGTTATGTTTAAATGTTCAACGGATGTAATTTCAGCGGTCCATTAGTTCTACGTTGGATTACGGCTGGTAACGTTACTTTTGAATCTAGTCATTAAGATCGAAGGTATGTGAGCAGTCATAAAAAGGGATTTAAGAAAATATCACCGCTAGTCCGGTATTACAGGCGCCATTTTCGATCCGTATTTCGTCGAATTTATGTGGCGATGGAGGTACACAGATTCTATTTTAATTATAAATTTAGACAGTATCTAACTGTTATTAGATAATTCTGTACACCTAAATCTCAGAATATTCAAGCTTAATAAAGAAGTGAGTTTTTTTTTCCTTTTCTTTCTGCGCCTACTCCATTAATTTTTGCTTCGATTCAAAATCCTTTTTATTGGATTTGTTAATTTTGCTTTTATTGGGTTCATTGCAAGCTTTATCCGATGTCTTGTTGAAATTTTTAAATCTTTTATTGAAATATCATTATGTTTTGGCCGCCATTCCTGTTACCACGGTGTTCCGCGGGAACAGGAATAGCGCCAAACATAAGTCGCCAATTTCGCCAAGGGGCACCCTCAAGTATATTTTTCCCACTGCGTAATAAGCTTATGAAATACCGTGAAACGTGAACACTATGATAAGTAGAGATTTAGAGATTTCAAATTGTGTATAGAATTTTTCCATTTGTGCAACTAGATAAGAGATATGACAACAAAAAAAAGCGAAATGTAAAAAAAAAACTTTTTAAATACATGAATCGAGATATTTTAAAATATAACTAATAATGATGCATGTACTGAGCCGTACCTGTTAAATGCACATAGTAGTGGTACATTCTGTTTCTTTGCCGTTTCTAAACATCTTTGAATGCCTTCTTCGTTTACAGAAAGAGGCTTTTCGCAAAAGACGACTTTTCCTAAAAGAGAAAGAAATCAGGAAGGCAGGTTAGAATGCTAAATTGCATGAAATGATACATTAATTGAATATACTATAATGAAAGGGCAACACGCCCTACAAGAGATAATGCCTTCGTATGAATCACTGCGTACGTCCACAGTAATGAAGGTAAACTACGCAGTGGGGAAATATTAAAAAAGGTATCACACCGTTCGGACTATTAAAGATTGGATTTCTCGCTTATGGACTACTAAAATGATCCGAGCAAACTCTCATCTAGGTCAACTCCTCAGATTTTTTATCTTCAGATAAATATGGGTATCACGATTCCTGGGTGCCCTAGTGATGGTGCCCTCCTGGGTATCATCACTAGGGCACCCAGTAACTCTTAGTTGTTTGAAAAAAATCCAATTTCTCATCATTTTTGAGTAAGATATAAATTTTTAACTTATTGGCACATAAAACCATAAAAAAAAATTTATTGGAGTTTCGCACAATATAGCTGCATCCAACTCTTATGCTTAAAAAATAATAATAATTGTCGACTGTAACTGCTGTACCATTAAATAAAATATTAAACTTTCTTTAAGTACGCGTAAACATTTATGAAGATTTAGTATTAGCTCATACTTCAATTTGATTTTTTTTTCCTTCTCCCGTTTCATTCATCTATTCACTCATTTTTTTACTGTATCGGAAATCATAGTAGGATTACATTTATTAAATTAAATAAAATCCAATCATTATAATTATAGAAATTAAAGTTTTAGGATATAAATACGCATGAGTACCAATAACTACAGTAACAATTAAGTTTTATTATAAACAGCTTATGTTGTATAATTAACAGCAACAATGCTTCCTGTTTTTTTTTATGGTTGTAAAAAATGTACAACTACAAAAATGGTTGTACAACCATAAAAAAAATTTTTTTTTCTTTTTTTTTGGGGGGGGGTGTAAAAAGTACGCTTCAAAATAAATCCCTCGATGAATTGTATTCTTCTTCTTCTTCAGCTCGACAGCCCCTTACAGGCCTTGGCTGGCTCAACCACGCTTAGCCTCCAGTGCCTCCTATCAATGGCGACTTTTCTCCAGTTGTTTATCTTTATGACTTTGAGATCTTTAGTAGTGTCATCCAGCCATCTAGTTGGAGGTCTTCCTCTGGCCCGAGATCCAGAAGGATTTTTAAAGGTGGCGATTCGTACTGCATTGTTTTCTGGACCTCTCCAGATATGGCCAAGCCATCTTAATCTATTGCTTCGGACGACCTGCACTATCTGTGGCTGTCCGAAGAGTCTATATAATTCAAAGCTGTATCTGATTCGCCAACAGCCTTTTTCCTGTACTGGGCCAAATGAATTGTATTCAAATGAGATTATATTTCCGCTAGTGAAAATTATACTTACGAAATAATCTTACGCAAGATATTCCTGTGAAAGTGATATAAGTTATGAGCCTGTATCGAAAATGAAATAATCACATGTAAAGTAAACTATTTAAAAAAAAAAACACGTGAAACCAATCTGAAATACATTATCAAAGAAAAAAACGGTCAACATAGTTACAGAAAATGTTAAATAACTCGTATTATTATAAGGCTAGCAGAAATAAAGATCCTGTCTTCCCAGGCTAACGTACATTAAATGAAGTTTTGTATTGCTTTGTAAAACTGTTAAATATGATTATTAAATATGATTCACTTTCTAGCATCGGTATAAATTTATAGAGGTACATTTATTAACTTATTTTTATTTATTTATTATTATTATTATTATTTTGAAAAATAATAGCAAACCTTGACTATGGCGCAAGAAGATCTTTTTTTAACTAGCATACATGTTTAACTATGCGCTGTTTTTTTTTAATTACAATGGTTACAATGGCTTGTTAGACTCATATAAACTAATATAAGGTACTTACCTGCAGTAAGTGATTTCATTACTAAGTCTTCATGTGTGAAAGTTGGCGTGCAAATCAAAACAGCAGTAATGCTGTAAAAATTAAAAATTCAATGTCAACTTCATACAATAAAGATGACCAAGGTTCAAAGATTTTTATTGAAATTCTACTAGTTTAACCGAATTTTACAACTAAGGAAAATCTTAAACTAATGTATCTTTTCAGCTCTAAATCACCACAAAATGTAAAGTTCCAGTACATTAGCTGACAAATATTGTTTAATTTGATAATTTTAAAAAAATCACTAATAAGGCAGCTTACGTGATTTATGTTTATATATGAATATTTTAGCAATTTATAATTTTCAATTACAGATGAAGTTAACATTTATATTTCACTGGCATAATTCTGATTTGGCTTCTTGGCATGTAAGCATTATCCCTTATTACTTCGTAATTTTGAAATCTAACTTCGAAGATCATAAACTGTTTGTTCACCTTAAGAATAAGTTTGACCATTGGAGAGTTTGCGATGCGCGGATAGCGATTCATTGTGCTGAAGAATCGTTACCACACAATTTCTTTAATCGTTATTTAGTTCAATTTATACGTAATCTTTATTTTAATTAGTTTATTTGTACTATGGTTTGGTCTTTAATCGTCTTCTTATGGTGGATGATCTGAAATAAGTATCCAGAAGATCCAGACAATCGGCAATCTTACTTTCACTTAGAAAATATTTTAAGTGCAAATTAGTTAGCGATGAAAATCGTGAATATATTCTCGGTCAGTAGTAGCCCAGATGTAAAAAACAGTGATATTCTTATTGAATTTCCAAAATTAAATGACTGGCAGTTCATTAGGATTTAAAATTTCTGTGTCCTTATTGAATCTGATAATTCATTCGAACTCAAAATTCACATATCTTTCTTATTGATTTCGCAAAAATATTATTTGAATTTGACTATTTGAACTTAAAATGACCTTGTCCTGTGTTGATACAAACCTTCTGTTTTCTGAGTTGTACAGAAATGGAAATTTTTATACGATATTATAGTAGTTAATTTCAGATTTTGTCTGATAATGTGTTGCTATTGTAATCGGTAATTAATAATGATTATTATCGGTAACTGCCTAATTTTATCATTACCTAACTAACTTCACTGACTAACTAAGTTTCTGAAAGTTAAAGGACATTGCTCAGTGGAAACTAAGTGCTTATAATAAGTGCTACCTAATAACCATCTTTAAACAACGCTGTTGTAGCTCATTTACGTCGCACTAGAACTGCACAATTGGCTATTGGCTACGGTCGGGAAACATCCCTGACGATGATCCGAAGACATGGCATCACAATTTTGATCCACTGCAGAGAGGATGGCACCCCCACTTCGGTAGCCCGACGACCTGCACGCGAAGTCGAGCCCTTTACGGTAAAACAGTTTAACGAGGACCAATACCGGACACCCTCGGTCCCTACGCAGACTGATCCAAGTGGTCACCCACCCGCACACTGACCGCAGCCAGTGATGCTTGACTTCGGTGATCTGCTGGGAACCGTGTCTTAACGATCAGTCCACTGCGGAACCTTTAAACTGCGCATACGTCTGAATACGGTAAATTTCGTAACTAGGCTTCAAGCAAAGTCCTACCTTGCAATCTTTGTGCCAAATTCGGGTACCTTTATTTATTTATATTGCCAACTAGCTTAGATCTGAATAAACAATTAAAGATTATATAAAAGCCGTAATGAAGTCATGAACGGGAAAAGAGCGGGTTGCACAGTTAATAACGGGGTGGGGGATGCTTCCCTCGGAAGACGGGTTATACGAATTTTGCTACTTCTACGTTGCTTGTGGAAACACAGATAACACAGCGAAGATACACAGCGAACGTGAGACAACGCAGCAAAGAGGTTAAATAGTTTATTTTCGTTTTTTTCCCGCTTCAGATTTTTGTTGTTAAGGCTAGGCAAAACTATTAGCAGTAAAATTATAATTTTTTTGCTACTACGCTACTCATCCCTGGAGCTACAGAAAAAAAAACCTTGAACTTAGTTTTTTTTAAATGTAATAGGATTAGCAAATATTGCGAGCGGGTACTGATGAAAGAAAGGAAATCGCTCATCTTTGAACTCTTACCTTTTATCTTTGAATATAACATCTTGTTCAGAAGGAGTTAAAAATGTAGTCTCCGTCAATTTCCACTTGTTTCGAATAAAATTTATTCTTTCTTTAGAGTCATCAACGCAATAAACAACCTCAGCTCTATGATTCCTCCTCAAATTATCTAAATGAATTGTTCCAATGCGACCAAGTCCAAAAATGGCGACACGTACATTTGGTAATGTTTCAGAAACGCTGGCGCCATTCTGTATTCCTTCCATATCCTTTTTATAACTAGAGGAAAAAAACATTTTTGTCGTAATATTGTAAACAAATCGTCTATTAAATTAAGAATAAAACTAGAGCGAATGTACTAAACAAGGCGTACTACTATTTGAGTATCTCAAATAGTAGTACGCCATGGGTACTAGAATAGAACTTTCTATTAACCATTTGATGCAAATAGGACAACCGGCGTCCCTTATATGTATTTTTTTCTGACGCTCTAATTACAACCAAAAATATATTTTGATATTTTTTAATTAAAACAAAATATGTTAGATTATCGGAATTATATTTGTACTGAAATATAAAATTCAAAAACAAGTAGTTCGAATTTTTTTCTTCCATTCAACACCATCATCAACAATTGATTTTGAAAATTTAAATGATAAATAATTGTTTCTCTTAAATCTGAATAAGTGAAAATTTGAAAAATTATTGTTTAGAAGAGAGCCGTGTTTGGAGAACCGTGATGCTTCATGTTATATTTCATAAACATATGTATATCATTAAAATGCTAAATATAATATTTTCTACTTATTTTGACGTAAATTATTACAAAATAATGAAAAAAGTAGGAATGCTTTATAAAAATTCTGCGTTAAGGGGTTAACTGGATTACAGCAATTTAAAAGTTAGGTTAGAATGAATAGCTTGCTATTATTTTACATTGGTTACGCATTTTTATACAACTATTTTTAGAATTTTAACCCAAACGAACTAATAAAATAATAACATAAGCATAAACTTACCAAAACTGTAAACTAAAAAGAAATTAAATCAATTTATAGTCTAACAGTTGTCAATGCTTTTAAACTATTTGAAGACAAAAAATTATTTAAAAAAAAACTTTTAGGTGATGTTTAAGATCTGATAAATAATCACCACTTAAAAGAATGTTTTATTGATTATCAGATCGTCGTCTTAGTAATTATCTATAACAATTGAATAATGTATTTTCAATACGAAATAAAAGTTATGTAAAACTAGAATACACTTGTTTAAAATGTCTAGTAGTAAAAAGCAGCTGATTTGTTATCTTTTTGTAATTTTTTTAACAAAAGTTCATTCATTTTTTAAGCGTTAAGTAATGAGATAGTAATGAGTTGAAAGTCGTAGTGCATAAATACAATTTAAATTACGTGTTTATTACTTTGCGATTTCTACCCCCCCCCCAAAAAAAAAAAGAAAAAAACTTCATTATAAAGAACATACTGTGGCCACCTTCTCACCAGATGGCGATGAACTCCTGCTCGTCAGGTGGCAGTGCAAAACATTTCCCTCAACCTTTTTAAAAGATGGCAACATCTCCAGAATCTGGCAACAGCTCAAGATAAACATTCATTCGGGCTTGCTGACCGGTGAACATTCACCTCTTTTAAAAATGCAGCTGTCGTCAATCCTGTCTGCCTTTTACATTGTAACTTAATATGATTTCTTCTTTTTTTAATTATTATCAAACTGTTGTGATTATTAATTTTATTGAATCAATTTATTTAATATTATTTAATCTAATCACCACAATACGATACTAGTTGCAAGACTTAATGTCTTTAACTTTAGCCCATTAGCTATACTTAAAATTACGCGATTAATAACTAATTTTATGTCAAAGCTTTCCTAGCTGGGGATTGCGATGCAGAATGGGATCATGTAACATTCATTGAATGTTATAAAATACGAAAGCTGGCTGCGCTAGGCTATACTGTGCTTAACTCAAGGTAATAATAAAAGTAGTAAACATATACAATATTAAGGTAACTATGATTCAAAAATTAACAGACATGAAAATTATTGGGAGGAGTTCTCTAGCTAGGGAAACGTTGTTATGGTGTTAAATTTAAATATTGCATGAAGCCAGTTTCATATCTTATTTCCTAATATCTCAATTTCTAACATGTAACACATACATATAGATTTTTTGTTAATATGTTTTATAAGAGACTATTTTATTTAATTTTTTCCCGCCATTCGTTTAAATAGTTTATTATACAAATTTTTAATTAATACTTACTTTTTAAATTAATTTTAATACGTTTTCAATAATAAAAGGATGTTTGAAGCAATTTCCGGGGTTAATCCTTTGGATTAATCCCTTGGATTAACACACATATCAACTACTCTGTAAAGATTCGAATTTATTACCGAAGACATACTTGCGAGTAGTGAGTATCCCGAAACTCACCTACGATTTTAAAAATCAAACAAAGAAAAATTGTAGGAGACAGAAATACATAATTTGCTGTGTTCTACCTTGGAAACTAAACCATTTATTCTTAGTAAGTTTCAAAATTAGTTACAAAGTTTGTCAATAGATGACACAGTTGGCAGAAAACTTTTGAAAACATTCTCTGCTGAATGTCAGACTATTCTAATTAAAATTGATTTTATTATCATATTTTATTTACGCAGGAGTGTATTTATATTAAAATATAACCGGCGTCAAACAGTCAGCTCATTTGTGGATAGACAACTATCAATGTTAAACACCGTAATCTTTCAAATTCTAATCCAACTCCGAAGAAAAGGGAACTCTTGGATGAAGCTTTGGGACCAACTGGCCACCGTCGAATATTTTTTTATGGAAATAACCCACGGTACAAGGAGTGGAAAACCACGAAAATATCCCATGGTTTCCGTCTACCACTATGGATATTTTACAACAGCACTGTGGTCAGTGTGGGCCGGGAGCAGAATTTGTATCTATACATGTGTTTTAATTATTTTACTCTTCGTTTTTCATGAAAATATTTGTTAATTTGAAAACATTTTCTTTTCTTTTTTGCCTATTTAAAAAAATTACACACAACTTTGTAACTATTGCTTGGAACTTGGTTAAAAAAACCGTAATTTCCTAAGTAATACGCAGCAACATTTTTATCTCCTTCCGTTTTTCTTTCATTGGTTTCTAAAATCTCTTGACATTTTGGAACACTCTTATTTATCACACATAGCTTCATTTTTCTCGCGGTCAACTTTTTTTCCAGTGGCCTAACATCGGGTTAAACGATGTGTTAAATCATCCTCACAAAAATTATGCTTCTAAAACAATTTGAATAAAATAATTTAACTGTATCTGTAGCATAATTAAAAATTCGTTAAATCGATTAAGAGTGGCAAACATTTTCGAAAAATAAATAAATAAAATTATTGCATTTTTTTATGGTTTTCCTTTTAATATTATTATACCAAAATATTGGATTGATTTTTGTAAAAAATGTAGAAGTTACATCATAATATGTTCGGCTGCGCGAAGCAGAATGCGCTGTGTGCGATATGTATGAACGTGTGAACTTGTGCGCACAATTGATTAATGGAATTGCTTACTCCTGTCTGAACATTTTAGTAAAATACGTGGAGCATCGTTTATACGACGATCACTTATACGACGTTTACATTTATACGACGTTTTAGTGTGGTCCCAAATCATTCCTATTCATTTTAATGTAAAAATATATCGTTTATACGACGCACAGAATCGGTTATACGTCGGTTTTTAGATTTTGTTCACGTTTATTTAATTTTTTATTTTTTCTTGTGTATTTTAAAAAAGGGCGGAATTTGCCAACATGAATGATACAGAAAAGGGTGCCAACAAGAATGCTTGGATGACGACCGTAATTTTTACTAGATGACTGAAAAAACTAGACAATGTTATGAAGAGGCAAAAACGAAAAATTTTGCTATTCATCGACCAATGTCCAGCGCACCCATCGATACTAATTATTTTGGAAAATGTAAAAGCTCTCTTTTTTCCTGCAAATTGCACAAGTGCGCTTCAGCCATTAGATTTGGCCGTGATTAGAAATCTAAAATTGCATCATAGAAAGCAGTAAGTTCAACTCGCTATTCAAAGCATTGTAGAGACTAATAGCAAGAAAATATAATTAAAGGTAACATACATTCAAATGGCTCACTGCAATTTTTCTCCTTTGGTTATTTGTTTGTTTTGCTTTGTCTAATTTAGAAATTTATGTAAATCAACACGTTAAACATTAAAATTAACTGAAAACAGAGTTAGTTTCAGTTTTAGAAGTAAAAATCGATTATACGACGTTATCGTTTATACGACGTTTTTCGGTGGTCCCTTCGGCGTCGTATAAACGATGCTCCACGCTCCACTTACTATTATTTTGTTGAAATTATGTAAGTAAAAGAATTAATGATACTTTCAATGGAAATAGTTTCAATTTTTACCGATTTAGCTGTAATAATTTTTAATGAAGGTTACAAAGGATTATCGACAGTTTTAGAACAATTATAAGTAAATGGCTTATTCTCTAAAAACATGCGAGGCGTCACGTTAGGGTAGATCGCCAAGAAAAAGATCTAGACTAACACTGAGACTGTTTAAAATGATGGAGAAGAAAAATCTTATGGATCTAATATTGATGCGTTGTAGTTAGTTGAGAAATTTGATATATTTATATGGATTATTGATCACAACATTTTTAACGCAAATTTGACCGAAACTCATTTCTCTTATAAGGTGTAACAAACCGCTTTACTTTTTGACGCAATGTTTACAATAAGTATAGTTTTCAATGTACATAGGGATTTTCGATGCACATAGGAATTTTGTTTTCTGGTTTTGGGTGAACCACAAAAAAGTAACTTTTTCGTGTCCTTTTTTTTTTTTTTTTNTTTTTGTGAAGAAAAAAATTTCACTTTTTTAAAAAAAATACTACGTATAACGAAAATTACATTCTTGTAGTTCAAAAAAAAAAAAAAAATCAAGACGGAATAAAATTTTAATAATTTTTTTTTCAATTTTTACGTGCAGCAAGTCACGGATAATTTAAAAAAAATCAGTTATAAACATTGCATAATATAAGCGCCAATTTTTTAAAAATTTTTGTATTTGTAACATAATAAAATGGAGATTAAAATATGCACAATAAGATTTAAAAAAAATACTAAGCTCATCAAAATCGTTGCAAAATTCCTTAAAAAAATCTTTCATTTTAAACAGGCTTCTACTGTGTTGTTCCTCCTTAAGATAGTCAACCCAGTGATATTTGAATGTTACTTTTTTTTTGATAAATTATTGATAATTATAGCTGGGAAACATTTTCGTAAGTTCAATATTCGTTTAAAGAATAGTGAACAGTGCGCTGCAGAGAAATTTAACTAAAAATTTGTAAAAATTTGTTTATCAGAAATAAATATTTCGATAAATCTCTGCATCGTTGTTTTCAGTCAACACTAACTTGAAACGTCATAGCCAAGGTTGAGTTATGTCACTGCTAACACATTAAAACGATTAAGAAATTAAGTCGATTTTATAGATTAGACACTTCGTTATAACCCTGAAACCATCTCGAGTTTAGCACGCGAGTTGATAGACGCAGCTCACGTTTTATTGATCATTTTTTATTTATTTAATTTCTTAGGTCATCTTGCTTGAGTAATCTTTTCGTTTTTTTATTTTCTTCCAACTTGGCATCTTGTTTCTTACAAATTTCGTAATAAATTACGCAATTCATATTTTGTTATAAATTCGAAATTACGTAATGGAATACTATCATGCGCATACAATGTCTAAATAAACTGACAAACAGTCCTTCAAACAGTTCTGAATTGAAACGTTATTTATTTACATTATTTTCTTACTTATTATCTTTCTTATCTACTCGTTATTTAATGTAATTGAGTTTCTTCTTCATTTAAAACCTTCTTATTATTTTATCGCATTACTTCTGGCTTTTTTAAAACCAACGTTAAACCAGGATTTATATATAGTTTTACAAATTGCACACTTTACTGAATATTCACATCAATTTAACTACACAATCCACAACGACAACTGAAGATTTAAAATGTAAAAAAGGTGGCAGGCGGATACAAAGATTTAGAGAATCTAATTTATATTTCTGGAAATAGCAGATTTTTGCACATAAAAATGACTTTTTTAATATGAAATTTTTAAACCACAGGGACAAAATGTTTCGAACATATTTGATAGAAATATGTCATATACACGTTAATGCACTTGTGCCATTTACAAAGCTCTTGCATCTGCATGTCATTTGCAACGGACAGTTTTGATTTAAAGTAAATAAATTCAAGAAAAGATATATTCCCTAGCAACAATTTTACCTTGGCCCCAGTTGGGTTCAAAATTGACTCAATAGGCGTCCTATATGGACATGCACCAAGGAACCAATATAGGGATATCTAGATTTTTTAATATTGGTCTTATATAGGGGCAATCTCGGCCTTTATGGGGCCAATATAGGGCCTATATTGGCTGATTAATGAATATAAATATCGGGTGAATCTGATAATTCTATACAGGGCCGATATTGTTCGTAAAGTGGCGGTAAAATATCGGCTGAATCTGATAATTCTATACAGGGCCGATATTGGTCGCAAAGAGGCGGTAAAATATCGGGTGAATCTGATAATTCTATATAGAGCCGATATTGGTCGTAAAGAGGCGGTAAAATATCGGGTGAGTCTGATAATTCTATATAGAGCCGATATTGGTCGTAAAGAGGCGGTAAAATATCGGGTGAGTCTGATAATTCTATATAGAGCCGATATTGGTCGTAAAGAGGCGGTAAAATATCGGGTGAGTCTGATAATTCTATATAGAGCCGATATTGGTCGTAAAGAGGCGGTAAAATATCGGGTGAGTCTGATAATTCTATATAGAGCAGATATTGGTCGTAAAGAGGCGGTAAAATATCGGGTGAATCTGATAATTCTATATAGGGCCGACATTGGTCATAAAGAGGCGGTAAAATATCGGGTAAATCGGACAATTCTATCTTGGGCTAATATTGGGAAAATAACGACTCTTTGAACGCTTGTTGAGCCAAAATTCGTAAAAATTGGTTCAATCAGAGCCCAAGTTATTTTGCTGCTAGGACTCATAAGTGAAGACATACTAGTTAGTGTTGTTTATTCAACAACAAAAAAGTGTAAACATTAAGAGAATTTTTGGTTACGAAAAAAAAAAGGCCTAAAGACATAGGTGAGGCAAAACCTTAAATTTTAATTAACTCAATTTATTTTTGTAACTTCATCATTCAACAAAATTTTTAGATTTATCCAGTTTTAAACATACGATTTTCAATGTATTTATTGCTATGAACTATTTGACGTATTTCTAGGTCAACTATGATTTAACAAAAACTGAATGCATTATACTAGTAATAATCACTTACTAAATTACAGTTTATTTAGTTACATATAGCCATTTAAAAAAATATTGCATACGAACATAATGTATGCACGAAATAAAAAACGAAACTCCATAATAATAATTTAAGTATCGGCTTTTCACGAACTGCGAGACAATTATAATCGTTCGAAAGTTTAAATTTAAATATGTTAATTAAAACAGGAGGTTTTAAAGTTTCGAAATCTGACACATAAACGAAATAACGCAGAATAAACATACCCTCGACAGGTTCGAATTTTGGCCCTTAAATATGGAGGTGGGGGGGTGCGAATGTCCGCTATATGGCTTAGCAATAACTTAGAAGTACATTTTAAAGTTCAACTCGTTAATTTTAATTTCACTATTTACATATTTCTCTTTATTTCTGAAATTATTGAAGAAAATAAAAGTTTGTGCAGAATTATAAAACTCATTTTGTCTTAAATAGTTCTTCAGTAATTTAATTTAATAAGGTTCGAAAGCATTTTGACGGACAAAACTTATAAATTAGTTCACAATTTTTAACAGCTTATTTTTACAGGAGAAAATTTAACTTTCAAACGTACTTCTAAGTTATGCTTAGCAATAACTTAGAAGTACGTTTGAAAGTTGAGCTCCTTAATTTTAATTTCACTATTTACATACTTCTCTTTATTTCCGAAATTAGTGAAGAAAATAAAAAAAAAAAAGTCTGCACAGAATTATAAAACTCATTTTTCTTTAAATAGTTTTGGGCATAAAATAATTATTCATAATTTTTCATTAATTTAATTTAATAAGGTTCGAAAGAATTTTGACGGTAAAAACTTATAAATTAGTTCATAATTTTAAACAACGCAATTTTAAATGAGAAAATTCACAATTTGAACTCTAAATTAGTGAAACAGTTCTAGACGACTGGAAATTTAAAAATGCGAATTTTTTGGAAATATTATCACCCAGAAATTATACAACCGATTCTTTGTATTAAAATTGAACAATTTAAAAGGACTTAAAAGCTTGTGCATTTTTTTGAACAATGTTAAATTGACTCACGATGAGGAGTAAATAATTGTAATACACTTAAAACAACGTCCGCACAAATTAAATAATTTATTTTAAATCAGTCCTTTGCTCTTTATAGCACTACGAAATCCGAGCAGTTATATTTTTAAATTTATGTACATTGTGTATTTATATTTACTGCACATTTGGCTTAAGATTACAATCATTAGACCCTGCGACAGCTTCTAAATTTCTAACAAATAGAACCTGTCCGAGTCACACAGATTTAGCCCGTGGGCTTCGTCTTTCATATGCCTCTATGCCTGGTCTACTGATTAAAAACGAACTGAAAAAAGAATAACGCTTATTTACAATATTAAAATAACCAAACATAACTTTTTCACGACGCTGTAATGTGAGACTTGAATGTGTGCATTAATCATTTATCGCTTACTCATAAATAAAATAAAATAAATAAAAACTTTTAGAGTTCCACGATGTCAGATTTTTATCGCTACCAAGATTATGAGCCTGGATTTTAAATAGATTAATAATTATTCCGTGTACAATGAATAAGCGATAAGCTGATAAAAAAAATGAAGAGATTAATTCTCTGGTTTAATCTATAAACTATGTAATATATGAATGTTTTTAAAAAGTGTCCGAATCTTGTTACAATTAAGATTTTTGTTTCCATTTCTCAATTTTTGAAATAATTCCCTCTTCTTACTTAAAAAAATAAATAGATAGATAGATAAAATAAAACAAGAGATGAATTTACGAAATGAATATACCGAGATAAGTTCTAATTGTTGACCTTTTCTCTTAGTTAAAAAAATTTTCTTAGCTTTCTGTTAGAGTCATAGGAGAACGGTTTTATTCTTCGAGTTTTAGTATTTTAATTTATAATTGAAATTCGAATACGTTCATAAAACTTACTTGAGATATAGTTGATCTCCATAGGACGCTTCGACGTTTGAGACCATCGTGAGTAAAAAAAAGAACTTTTCAATTTAGTTTTTTAAAAAAAAATCGAAGTTTTTTTAAAGCAGAATTTTCTTCTCTGGGGAAGCGTCTTGCTGTGTGTCGGAATTAATTTCGAATGACCCAGCGGGCAAGGATTTATTCAAGTACACTCGCCATGTTTTCAGGTTTGGTGGGCAAAGGGTCACGTGAGTGCCAGTGTGACGTTTCGCCAAGCGAAAATGAGATAAAATATTTCTCTGAAGAGAAATATTATTAACGTTGTCAATAAATCTCTTAAACTTGACAAGCTGACGTAGCAAAAAAACCGAATAGAAGCAGATAGAAAGTTTTCTTCCATGGGAATACGGGAAACAGATTATTCTAATCCATTTAATAATCGTTAAAAAAAAGAAGAAGAAAAGAAACACATGCTAACAAGGATACTACTATTTGTAAATAACGATGTTGTTAAAAACGATGAAAATTCTATTAAATTGTCAAGTCATTAATTTTATTCTTATAATTAAGTGATAGTATCTTTAAACTTGATGTCTACTTTTAATGCAAGTACACAAATGATATTTAAATAAGCACATTAGAAGATAAAAAAAATAACCCAATTTAAATTCTAGAATGCCCAGTTTATTTCCGGGTTCGTTTACGGTAGATGAAAATTATACATGCTAAAAAATGTAAAAATGTTGTTCAACACTTAAAATTTTTTTAGAATGGCATACTTATGGCTACTTAAAATAAAAGTTTTTCAAGTTACGGAAACTTAATCATGACAAATATTCCATATGAAGCTGTGGTGGCTCAGGGGATAGAGCATTCACCTTTCAATGAGGTAAACAGGGTTCGAATCCCAGCGATGGCTGGTAGATGCGAATTCTGCACCCGGTTCGCACCAACCGCAGTGCGGACGTAAAAAAATATCTTCAGTAGAAAACGGATCATGGCTTAGAGTCCTCTTGCTGTCAGGTTAACCAAGGGAGGTTTTTGTAGTTTTCATCGTAAATGCGGGTTAGTTCCATCAGAAAGTCCAAAACTAATGCAAATATCTCCCAATACTTGATCTAGGAGTTTCCTTGTCTTCTGAATTGGATTCAAAATTACCAGCCAACGGAGTTGAAGATTAGCAGTCGTAAATCCGAAAAGAAATTGGGTCGATTGTTTAACGATGGATATAAAACCGTTATAAAAAGCATTCCATATAGAGTCAAGGTGGCTCAGGGGATAGAGTGTTTGCCCTCCAATGATGTGAACCGGTTTCAAATCCCAGCGATGGCTGGTCGATACGAATTTCGCACCAGACTTGCACCGAGCACAGTGCTGACATAAAATATCCTCAGTGGTAGACGGATCATGGGTTAGAGTCCCCTGCCGTCGCGTGGGAGCGAACGGCAGGGGACCTAACATCCAGGTCGAACTGGATGCTAGGGGTTCAGGCAGACACTTGAATTAGGAATCCCTTAAAAGTATATTGTCCATCACTCGCCGTTTTTTAGCAAACACCCCCACCTAAATTTATCATTATCACCTTTCGATATTTTTTATAGCCATGAATTTGATTTGAAAGAAGAGTGAAGGATTATTTTTATTATTAAACTTTTCATGAGAGGCTAAGAATGGAACATGTTCTAAAACATAAACAGTTGTAGTAAAAAAAATTTTTTCCGCGCTTAAATTGTAAAATAAATCATTATAATTGAGAGTTTTTTTGGGGGGGGTGGAGGTTTACAATTTCTTAACTTATTTTCTACGTATTGCACTTTGAAGTTACCCTTTTATTCCCCTTACACCCTCTATTAACAAGAGTATTTATCTGCAATTTTAGCTAAAAGTAGGTGAGAGGAAGAGGTTAGGTAACCCTCATACAGTAAAATGTAGGAGCAGTGCCCTACTCTCTCGCAAAAGCCTCGAGATTTCTTTTATTATTATTTTAACCCTTAAACTTCTTATGGGCTAGAGAAGTTTAAGTACTATTAAAAGAACAATTGTAGCGAGGAGAGAGATATGGGGGATATTTTTTCCCAGAAATTACAAATAAATAAAAAGAAAAAGATTAAAAATTTAAAAAAAAATTATTTTTCTCACACTTTTTTTTAAACTTACTTACTTAATATACTCAAGCTCTTAGTCACCTTTTTTTTTCCTCTTGAAACATTCCAAGAAATCAAAATATTTGGTAACATTTTTGCTTAAAAGCAGGTAAAGGGTGAGGTCAAAAAACACTCCACTCGGACAAAGTATTCTCCAACCTTTTTTCGCGAAAGCTTTGAGCATTCCTCCTTTTTATCATTCCAATATTTTTACAATTTGGGGATGTTTGAGGATGTAAAAAGAGGTTAAATGCTTAACGAAAAAAATGATAAGAAATTGAAAAATTGCCAAAAAAAGCTACAAAAAAATAATTTCTCAATTTTTTACATTTTAAAGGAGGAAATAACCCTTTAAATCCATCCTGTACCCCCTCGGAAATGTCCCATAACTCTCCGATATATTATGCATTAGAGCTTCCTTAATCTAACCCCACATTCACAAATTTTTAAAAATGTCTGTAAAAAAAAATTAAAAATAATTAGTATTAATTTCTTTTTTCACAATTTAAAGGGGGCAAAAATCAAAACAAAATCTGAATCGTTGCTCACAATGTTCATGTTTTAGAACCCTTAATTTCTCTAGCCCTTCATAAGAAGTGCAATAGTAAAAATAATCCTTTTTTCACCTTCAAGTCAAATTTATAGCCTTAAAATTCTGGAAAATTTATAAACATAGGGGGGGGTCGGNCAGGGGGGGGGGGGATATTTCCAGAAAACAGTAGATGGTAAAAGAAAAAACTAGATTCATATTCGGATTAAGGTCATTTTCGTAAAAATGAGCAAGAATAAAGTCAGGACTCGCAAAAAGGGTTTATTTATTTATTTTTAGGGCATTTGTTATCAGCTCGAAATAAGATAAATAAATCTTATAGGTGAGTTTGAAAACAGATCATATCGTAATTGTAGTATGAAAAAAAATTGACGAGGGCGTGGTTCAGTTTATTTTTTCTAGGAAATAGTTTTGTTTATTTTAAGTTACAATTGATTTGATTCAAATTGTAATAAATTTTACTTTTTTCAACAATTCATTCAATAGTTTTATCATTTTATTCATTCAATAACGCGATATCATTAAATGAAGTCATTATCTTGAAAAATTTTTGTTTAAATATACATAAATCACCAAAAGTGTTAATTTTTTTAATAAATTATTTCATTAAAAATGAATTATAACTAAACTTTTAAATTAATAAAAAATAGGTTTTTGGTGGCTGAAAAAAAAAGGGAATAATTCTGTTTCAGTATTTCTTGTGGTTAGCGTCTGTACCTTACCCCCCTCCACTCCTGACACCAGTGAATTTTCTATGGAAATGACGTGTTTCTGTACTAATTGATTCAATTATATTACAAAAGTAGTAGCCAACAATGTGCAGCATAAACTATAAAAATTAACCCATTAATGTCCACCGTCTTTTTTTCAAATAAAAAAAAATTCAAATTATATTTCAAGTGCAGATGGTTAGTTTTTTCAAAAGAAAATTATTTTTAGCATTCACTAAATTTAATGAATTGAAGCACATACCAAGCGTTTGCCAGCTAGATGCTGTAATGGAGCAAATTCATGAAATCTTACATAATTTTACATTTTCATAGCTTTTTGTGGATGTATTTCGCTGCCTTATGTTTCAAAGTATTACCAAATTTTTGCCCTTTTCAATTAAAAATAAATTGCAGGCAAGATTTTTATTTATTTACTTTTAGTATTTTTACAATTCATTGCACAGCATTCAGGGTTAGCAATTTCTACTGAGGCAGTTATAACCACTGGTAGAAACAGGTTAAAAAGGCATGGTGAAAATACCTTGTTGCCACATTAGTAGCAGAAAATGACCTATGAGTAATTACTGACATACAACAGATAATGCATAGAAAAAACGATTAAATGTTAACAAAAATACAATTTATTTACAATGTTATCACAATTCAAAATCAAACATCACATTGCATTGTTTGCACTCTATAGTAGTCTATAACAAAAGACAAGTTTTGATGTGGTATTTGAATGTAAACAATTTCTCGATTTATAATGCACAAATGAAAAATTTGAGAAGATTTTTACAAGTCCCACAGAGCTAGCAGACATTGAACAAGCAAGATTTGTGAAACTTTAATCGATTGCACATTTTTTAAACTGGACCACCATGTAGCAGCTGTAAACTAAAAAGTTTGTTACAGTTACAAGATTAACAAGGCTAAAATTTCCAATACAGAGCAATTTCAACAATAATCTATTTAATTGCTTTGCTTTAGAAATTTCAGTCCTGTAGTTTAAAAAATTTTTCACATTAAATTATTAAATATTATATCAAGTTTTCACTATAAAATGGGGTTAAACTTTTTAGTTTACCTAAACAAATGTTATTAACTATTTACTAGAGCTATTAAAAACATTTTTTAGTTTCTGCCACTGGTAGGACAAAAACCAGTTTCAAGCAGCAAAAAACCCAATCCTTACAGCACATAATATTGCAAAATAAATTATTCAAAATGGTCTGGACATTATTGAATTGATAAAAAAATAGTTTAGGACATCATTTTTAATGAAAATCATTATGATTTCCATGAGAGGGGTAACAGAAGTCTTTACTATAATGGTTTTTATTGGAAATTCCAAAAAATTTGGTTAGTACCTACCTGGAAAAAATATTAAGGATACGTTTGATAAAAAATTTGGAATTGTCGTGTTTAGATCCTTGTTAGATATTATAAACTTGCTAATCAAACTGTGTGTTCATAAAACATCGCTTTAAAATAAAACAGAACTTAATTTACAAACAAAGAGTGTTTTATTCATAAACTATTTAATACGTACAAATACAAAAAGCAATACATTATATTTTTAATTGACAAAAAAAAAGTATACGGTTATACAACATCCTATAATATTAAACACAATAATACTCTAACTTATCAAACATGTAGAGTTCACCAATCACAACCATATTATGAAAAACATTTGGTTTCAAAACTAGTTAAGAAAAGTTTACAGAACACATTCACAAAACCTCCTATCTCCAACTTGAATTGTTTGCATTTTGTTATTTTTGGCTTCTCTGCCTAGACTTAATCTATAAATTTTCATCATTAAAAACATTTAAAGTTTTACTTAGAAAATAAAAAAAAAGTGGAATAATTTAAAATTAAAAAAATGGAATAATTTAAAATGTTATGCTATCTTAAAGTGAGATTCTTCTTCACTCATTTCCGAAATTCGCACAACCCAAATTTGTTTTATTTTCAAATAAAAAAAAATTCAAAAAATAAAAAAACAGTGAAACCCAACTATATTCTTAAAAAAAAATACAAATTTAATAACCTAAAACATTATTAAATTAAAAATCAAACTTTATTCACCACAAATATTTTACTCGAGTCAAATATGTATCTACCAAAAAAATTTTATTTTATAATAAAAATATCAGAATAGAGTTTAAATTTTATCATCCTCAGTGATCCAATGAATTCTCCTTTTTGCTAAATTGAAAACTCAGGGCCCTTGCCACAGCTTTTAGTTCATTTATACTTTAAGATGCTAATTTGAATGCTATGCTTTTGAGCTATTTAGAATGAATGCTTTTTATGCAATTTTGAATGCTTTAATTTCATCTATGACCCGACGGACAATTAAAGAAATATCTCTGTGGACATGATTGGATTTTGCTTCTTTTCTTCTAGGGCGAGCAGCACACCCAGAAAAGTTAGAGGTGTGATTTTGCTGGCAGTTGCAGCATTTAGCTGGCGTGTCTCTGCTATTTGTGCACTTATATGAAAAGTGCTCCCCTGCACATTTCAAACAGCGAGGTGGGGCAGTGCATGTTCTTGGAGAGTGGTTGAAGCCCTGACATCTGAAACATTGTAGCAGTTCTCGGCTTCCCCGGAATTTTTCAACATTTATCGGATACTGTTTATAGAATTTTAAGGTACATATCTCTTTATAGTGGCTCAGTGAAGGTAGAAGAACAAGGAAAAGTGGGAGAGACTTATAAGTATTATCCTCTCTCTTAGAGAACTGAATAATCTTATATATTTCTAAGCCTTTTTTCTTTAGTTCCAGGGCGATTTCATCAGTATTTGTTTCAACTGGAATTCCTCGAATGAGAACTTTGATGGTTCTTACTATTGAAGGTAGATCCTCCTTAGTTGGGATATCAGTTAGTTTGCTGTGGTTTTTCTTCTCCGGTAACGTGGCAGTTGTTACTAAATTAGAGACAGCAGGAGATGTATTTTGATTATTTGTATGAGAGCCTGAAGAGCCAGTAGTTTTTTCAGTTTGCACCTGCACTGATTTGTGCTTTTTCTTCTTTTTCTTTTGCTTTTTGGGAGTAGGGTCTGTAGTCTCTTTGTCATTTACTTCGTTGGAGTTTGTTGGCTCAATATAATTTTGCGGGTTCTCTAAAGAAGACTGAAGCAGTTTTTCTCTCTCTTTAAGAGCAGCAAGCACGGTTTCACTTCTGAATAAGTTCTCATATCTATCGTATTTCCGCAGATCTCTAGCAGGCATGACAGAAAGGTTGTTGTAATTGGATTGATGAAGTCTTCGGTATAATGCCGCTTTTTCGTCAGAACATGTCGTAACACCCTCGAAAATTTCCTTCTTGATTGCTTCGCGATCGAAGTCATCGGGCGTTCGATATGGTCGCTGCATTGACTTGCCTCTTCCGCCTTGTTGAGAGCCTGACATATTCGCAGAGAGATTGGATATAACACAAGTCTGAGTAATAAAAAATGATAAATGCCTATATAAAGTAGAATGTTTATTATAAGTTTATGTACTTTAATTAGTTTCTTTGTAAAAAATTATTATATTTTATGCATTCTGAAAAAATAAATCAATATAATCACACCGTTTTAGTAAAGTAGGTATTATACTTAGATTTCGACTGGTTTCGAATACGCTTCTGGTTGCTTATTTCTGGCAAGATAGAGGTTTATTGCGTTAAAGTGTTAAATTATGATAAACATAAAACCGCACAACTTTACCACACCAGTTTAAAAGTAATATTCACGAAATCTTAAAGTCGTAAAGTAGAATAGACAGAAATAAGCATTCAAAAGCTTACTAGAGCTAGATAAACAATTTGTTTTATTTATAAACTAATAAACAATTCCATTTTGCTATTTAATAACTCTAGATCAATAATTGAATTTTAGATTTTTTTCTATCACAAGAAATGCCTAAAAAAGAACTGGCTCTGGGTAGGAGCTTAATTAAAGCTCATAAACGGAAGAAAAATATCGTGGTTAAGGATGGTTATGTGAGTTTATAATTTTGATATTAATATTCCCATTAATATTTATTTGTCTTACTCACGAGTATTCTTTTTACTTTTTTTTCTTATAAGTGTTAAAGGAGTTCTTGTATTAAAAATATCCTGATAAGACAATAGATACTTTAAATTTCATTTCACATATTTAAATCTCAGAATTTATGGCATGTTTATTATTAATCCATGCCACTCTTTCATGGTGCTGTGCTCTTTGCATGAGTTCATTTATTTAATTTTTATTTCCTTCAAAGCTGTAGTTAAAAAAAAACATTTTGCTGTAAATGTGACCAAATACAATAGAAAATTAAAAAATTTCTTTTCATAAATTTGCATCTTTGTACTTATATTTTAAAATAATAATTTCTATTCCTTTCACGCTTTAAGTTTTTTATTTATATTAACAGTTGTGTTTTTTTTATCAACAGAGGCATACTAGTGACCTTCTTGATGGAAGAGACTTCAACCGCTTAGATTTAAAAAGCGTTACAGAGCAAACTTCCTTAGATGATTTTCTTTCAACCACTGCATTAGCTGAAAATGATTTTAATGCGGGTATAGTTATAATTTCTAGTTGTATTATAATTATTGTAGAATAAATATTTAAAACTCATATAAATGAGTTTGCAACGATAATTAATTTTACAAATTGTTATCAGATTTTTTTTCTTCTATTTATAAAGTGCTCTTTGTTATTAATAAGCTGAAGCTATCAAATTTTTATGCTCAAATATAAGTGATTTTATAATTAATATTTTCTATCAACATAAAATATTCCAAAGAATATGTTTTTTGTTGTATGTATACAATTACTAGATCTTGCCTAAATTGTGTGTGGAAATTTCAAATCTAAAATTAGTTTCGTTCCTAAAGCTAGAATTTTTTTTATTTTTAAATGACACTTTAAATCTATTTTTTGTTGAAATGTACAAGTTTTAAAACCCTAACAGGGGGTTGCGTAAATGTTGCAACAACTTTCTTATGGAGTTAGAGCATATTAACAGGATTAAAATTGTATAAGAACCCATACCCTGAAATATTGTCCAAAATGTTAGTGGCATTTCCTTATTATGGGTATTCTGAAGCACATAAAAAGTTCATAATAGTGAATTGTCCTTAGTGACTTATGATATTTCCTGTCATTGGTTCCCATGTAATTTTAATCCTGATAATGTTTCTTCTAACTGCCCTAGAAGTTTGTCACAACATTTACGCAACCCTCTGTTAACATTTTTAAACTTTTACATTTTGACAAAAAATATACTAAAACTGTCATTTAAAACAAAAAAGGAAAAAAAAGAACTATAGTAAGAAAAGAGAAATTGATTGCAGATTTAAACTCTACAATGTGGAAATATTCAAGATCAATTAAATAATATCATGCAACAGAAGAAAAAAAAATTGTATAAGATTAATAAATTATATAGATTAATAAAGATTAGTAAATTAATTGACTGATAAACTTATTTAATTAGAAGCCAAACAATTTTGATTCGGTTGGAGATTTATCTTCTTTAATTTTATTAAAAATATATATTTAAATAAATCTTTGTAATCTGACCGCTCATTACAAAGTTGCATTTTTATTACATGTAATCTCCTTCAGCTTTTCTCCTAAAAGAAAATTCTACAACTAAATAATAATTTATTTATTTTCAGAATTCTCAGATGTTAAGCTTATACAAAATCTTGCATCTAGTGCAGTGCTATCAGAAGAGGAAAAACATTTAATTTCATTGGCTCAAGAGGAAAATAAAGATGTATTGTGTATTCCTCGTCGGTATGACTTATTTTTTGTCCATATTGTATCTGCTGCAAATATTTTTTTTTTTATCCTGTCCTTAAAAATTTTTTAAACTTTATTTATTTTTTATTATATTACATCTTTTATTTCAGGCCGTCTTGGGATGAAAATACATCGAAGGCAGAATTAGATGCGCAGGAACGAGAAGCTTTTCTCACCTGGAGACGTAAACTTGCAATGTATGTATGTTGCAATGTAATTATTTTATGCCTTGGCTAAAGTCAGTGTTTTCCATAGAAAAATTTTACTCCTCTATAAATTTTGAAGGGTGAATTTCAAAACAGAATTTTTGTTTCTAAATTGTTGCCATTTTATGGCAAGTATTATATTTTAACAAAAGCAATTAATTATGCAAATTAAACACAGTTATGCAAATTAAACACACTTGAATGCTAAACCAAGAAAAAAGAATTTTCATATTTTCTATTGTTCTTCACTACTTAAAGGGCAGCAGGAAAAATAGTTTCTAAAAAACAAAATTTATTTATAAAATGTATGGAATGTGTTTGTTTTTACATACTTTTTTATTTCCACCGTACAACAGAATGTTCAGAATTCTTGTCTTTATTAACACATTCATGGATGGGGTAAGGGGCAGCTTCTATGGTCAGAGACCTGGAGCACCTGCGCTAGAAGACTGTATCTGTTTTATCTTGTTTGGGACTTACCAGGCAGGACCTGGTTCAAGCTCCCCTGCTGGTGCTAGACTTGCTTAGAGTGAACGAGCTCATGGACCTGATCTAGCTCTGCTGGTCATGGGGATGAGAACAACACACCTTCATTGGTGGCATAAAAAAAGTGTTCTTACAAAAAAAGCTTAAAAAATTATCTATACTCTCCAAAGCTGGGTTTTTAAGTTTTATTATATTAGGAGTTACAAATTATCTTTCAAACAGAACAACAGCTATTATAAGTGTCAAGCAATGGCAATTAATTTTTTAAATTCAGAAAGCATGAAAGGGATCAGAGTCTTTCTCTCTGCACACAACCCTTGGATTCATTTTTCATTGAAATTTTCTTTATTCAACACCGGGAGGAAGAAGAAAAAAAAACGAAAAATTATAACAAAAATTTTATAAGGAGTATTTTCTTTCCCAAGATTATTTTTGTGGAGTAAAACTGAAATTTGATGCATGAAACATGCATCTAGATGGGCATTGGAGAACTCTGTAAAACTGGAGAATTTATTTTACAATGAAAAATGCTTGAATCTAATATTTTTTTTTTTAAATCAAAAATTCTATATAATTTACAAAGTGAACTGGATGAATAAGCAATTTTAAATGGTGAAGTTAGATTTATTTATATCAAACTGTTAAAACCAAGATTGTTGTTGTTGTTCTTACTTTACGTCGCACTAGAACTGCACAATGGGCTATTGGCGACGGTCTGGGAAACATCCGGGAGGAAATTTAAATCAAAGTAATGATCATTTTAATCATTGTTATTTATTTATTTGCTATGCTAAGTTTGTCATTTTCAATTTATTGTGATCTTTTTTTAATTTACTTGGAGGTAACTAATTCTTTTATTGTAGATTATTAAAAAAAAAATTCATCTTTATTTTTCTTATAAATGTCAGTGAACAAAAAACAATTATATATTTCTTAAATTGTTTATCTTGTAGTCAATATATTAAATTTCATTTTTTAATAAAATTCTAAAAATTTTAATTCAGTTTGTTCTAAAATGTTTTATACTGACCCAAAATTTTAATGATTTATCCAAAATGTCTAGATTTTTTTAAGTATTTAACAATCATAGAAATGTATTATTTGTTAATTTTTCTTCTCAAGATAAAATTACATCTAGCCAATATTTATTTCTAAAGATATTTCTTAATTATATATGAATGCAGACAAATAATTGTCCATAGTGTCACCCTTTGCCATGTGGCTCCCTCTGCCTGTTATGAATTCAGTTAATAATAAAAAAAGTGTATGAGTACTGATCTGCCTTGCAAAAGATTTACAAACAGTCATCAGAAAAGCAAGGAGAGCTTTGTATGCAAACACTATCTTGGGAAAAAAGCAAAGTGTATCTAAAATTCTACAGCACTGAAACAGTATTGTTTTATATTGTAAGGAATTGGTGTAAATTGGAATTTTATTTTTAGGATTCAGGAGCAAGAACATTTAAACCTGACACCATTTGAAAAGAATTTAGAAGTGTGGCGTCAACTATGGCGAGTGATTGAAAGAAGGTAACTACTTTTCTGTTATGATTTTCTTTTTTTTAAATCACAATGAAATATTCATTTTAAAACAAATATGAAATTTCATTGTCAACTTATTTTATTGATTTTAAAGTGTTTGAAGGATGTTGAGATGTTTAAAGGGAAAATAAAGTTTGGAGGACAATTTCGTGTGTAACTCTTACCATATATTAATATCATTCAAAGCATCATAAAATTTTGTTAATTTATCATTAAGTGATTATTTTAAAATGAAAAAGATTATGCAGAATTTAAGAGCATTTTTTATGAGAAAATTCCTGAACTTTTACATATGTAACTAGGGGTTTAACAAAAAATTTGATCATGGAGAAATATCACACATTGAAGTTATCAATTTCAAATTTAATTTCAACTCTACTAAAATTAAGACACTAATAATTATAATTTTACTCCAATTGAAATTCGGGATAATAAGATAATATACTTGATGCATTGTTTCTTTCTGGGAACTTAGTATTAATCATTTGTAAAAGTAATAAATAATTGCGAATGTAACTGTCAAAATCAGTGCTGTGGTGGCAAACAGTACGGTGAATAAATGCCGAAATTTCATTTCATGTAAATATTTTTTTAAAGTAACATGCTGAAATGCTTTAACAACTTTTGCTTCTGACTGAGTTTTATTTAAAACTCTCTAAATGATAGCCACCTTAAAATAAGGTTGTCCCATTTCATTTAAATTCTTAATGCAATTTAATGCTAAAGGAAAAATTTAACAGTTCCTACAATGTGCTAACACACTGCATGTGTATTTCTTACTATTCTTTTTAAACTTTAAAAAATTTATTTTCAAAAATGCAAAAAATTTTATTATTAGCCAAAAGACTATAAAAAATCAGCACAAAAATTAGAGCTTACCGAAAAGCAAGTGGGGTACGTTGTTCTTCCATGTTGTCTCAACACTACACATTTGGCATAAGGAAAGCATATGTGAACATTAATTATCAATGCATGTGTATATAATTTGACGAACAATTTTTATTTTCATTTTTTATTTCAGCCATGTTATTGTTCAAATCATAGATGCTCGAAATCCATTACTTTTTCGTTGCCATGATTTAGAAACTTATGTTAAAGAAGTGGATGAAAATAAAATAAATGTTCTATTGCTGAATAAAGCTGACTTTCTAACTGAATCAGAAAGGTGAGTATCCCCATTTTCAAAATAGTAATTATTAATGTATTTGGCATGGGAATTCGTCCAACTATCAATCCTCTTTAATATTTAAATTTATTTACCTTAAATTTTTGGTGTGAGAAATCTTGCTATGTATATACATATATTATTTATAATTATGTCAATGAATTATTTATGTTCTATGAGTAAATTCTGTACAATAAAGAGCAAATATTTGAATTTAGCCCTTGCTAATTTATTTTTTAGGCAAACTAATTTTTTGACTGCTCGAATGCTGTATTAATAAATGTTTTATTACTGAGATTAAAGTTTATAATGATTGCTAAATTTAATATTCATCCATAGATTTCGCCTGCTATCTTTTAACTTTTTTTTCTCCTTATTCCCACAGTTAAAATTTCTTCTTTGTTGTCATTAGTTTTAGTCTATTAATTCTATGAAAGGAAACTTGCTGAGAACTCTAATGGGCATTCACTAAAACAATTTGATTTTAAGGCATATTTTGATAATGGAATAACACATTTGCAAAAATGGGTTGAAGTTTGAGGAGAGTATTCTGAGAGAGATGAAATAAATTCTGAATGATCAATTGACTCCTTTTGTTTTATACCCTGATTCAGAGTACCATTACTTTTTTAACATACATAGTATGTTTCTAATTAATATTACCATAAATATAAAAATTACATAATGTATAGAAATGATGTTATTATATATATAAATGTAATGAGTTGTATCTTTCTTATTTTAGACAATGTTGGAGTGATTACTTTGAAAAAAATGGCATACAAGTTGCATTTTTTTCAGCACTGCAGCAAATTGAAAGAGCAGAAGTATGTAATTTTTTTTAATCTGAAAATACCAATTGTTATAATTTAAAAACTAACTTTTAAAACTCAAGTTATTTTAAATATTCCTCATTGCTCCAATTTTTTTATTATTATTATTATTATTCTGTTTTGTTGAAGAAACATTTGCCCTTAAAAACTTTTAAAATGGTTTAAACTTTTATTTTGTCTAAAATTATTATAACACTTNAAAATCACACTTTAAAAAAAAAAAAAAAAGAGACCTCTTTAATGTGTTAAAAAATGCTTTATTAAGAAATATATATTTCTGCAGTCAAAATAGATAGAAGAAAGACTGCAGATTGATTTGATAATGACACATAATATTAAATAAATACGTTATCAGGAGTTTAAATACAGCTTTAAGCAGTTTTAGAATTTTGAATTCATGAGCAGCATTAATATCCACTTAACTGATTAAGTTAGCATCGGTAGGTGATATGTAACAAAGCGTGCATAAATAACTTTAAAGTATTTTATGCATCTTAAATATCTCCTTTATGACATTAGTATGTCTGTTAATGCAAGTTCTGTTGGCTCTGTTGCTGCATTGCCAAACCATGAGCATTCCCAAAAGTTGTTTTGCAGTACCCTAGAGGATTTTGTGAAAGGGTTATGATTATGGGGGTTTCAAGAGTTATAGTTTTTTTTTTTTTCAAACTTATGAAGATTTTTTAAACCTGCAATTATATTTATAACCAATGAACAATTCATCATTTATTTAATACTTTGGTTATTTTAGGAAATAATTTTAGCAAAATTCAGTAAAAAATTATTATTATTATAGTAGTAGTATTTTTTAACAAATATTTTTCTAATAGCATGAATAAATTTAGAGATAGATTAGCTATTAAAGAAAAATTGCTCTAGTATTTCTTCTCAAACTTTTGAATTCAAGGAAAATAACAAAATTCAACAATAAAGTAGTGTTACACTGATAACCACTCTCAAGGTCTATAAAAAAAACTCCCAAAAAAATCAGCGAAATTAGATGCTGCTCTAATCTAAACTGTCTAAAATAAAATTAATTTTAAAATATTTTTGATAAACGATGATAAAATTAAGATTAATATTTTCAAAATGAGTAATTTTTTCTATTTTTGTTAAGATGTTTGCAATAGCTAATGAACTTTATTTGTTAAGTTTGGGTTCCACTAAAAAAAAAAGACAATCGTTTAGGATTTGGTAGCTAGGAAATATTGGGAATTGCTATATATATATATGAGTTCAGGTAACGATGATGGCAGTGGATAGCAACCACACACTTTCCTCTCTAATGTGGACCACAAAGGTTCAATAATACTGAGGTGACAAGTCATTCTCCTGCTCGGAAACCAGCCCTTGACTATGCGAGCTGTGTGAACAAGAGAATTGCAATCTTGGAAAACACCATCATCATTGAACAATGATGATAGTGTCTTGAAATAGTGATAGTGGCCAAATTGTTTACATAATTCTTAACAGTAATCTGTCCTTTCAGAATTATCATGGGGAGATTAGGAAACCTCATTTTGGCTGCCACATTAATGGAGATCTCTGATGGCTATGGAACCATCACAGAACTCCTACCATGTTTCACATTTGGCTACAAGCAGTCTGTATCATGGAATTAGGATGGTTCATCAGACATAAACTTGGCCAAAAGTAGGAAACAATATAAAATAAGACTCTCCTGAAAATAGTATTGTTTTCTACTGTTCCATAGTCTAGGCTTTATGACTTTAAACATCATTGTTTCCTGTCATAGGCATTATCATCACTGATGAATAATTTTGGAATTGCAGTTTGGCTAGAAATACACTGCTTGTGGAGCTCTCTTCTGGTTGTTTTGACACTTAAAGGGTTTTTGAGCATGACGTTCATTCCAGCTGTAACTTTGGCAGCCGTGGTCTTATTTTTTGTCACAATCCTCTTCAATAAGCTTTCATCTTAACTGTGATTTAGAATATTATTTTTTCCATATTTCAAATATGCAGAATAAATTTCTGATACAGTACCTCTTGAAACATTAATTACCCGGCTATCTTGTTTATGGAAGCACCCACTATGCACACTCCAACAACTTTCTCACTATTAGCTCTGACATGATGGAATTTAGGACAATTTCAGGCATTCTAGTTGGTAGTGTCAGTACATGTAAATACTAGCTCCACCTACTTATTTCATTAAAATAAACATTTATTTTAAGCATTACATTTAACAAGGTGTCCCCATATTTTTATCTAACCCCTGTATTATATTGTCTCATTCATTTATCTTTTGTGTTCAAATTGTTAAAAAAATCTAAGTCTGGCATCATTTGTACCCTTCTTGAGTATTAGTTAAGAAGAAATGAATATCTACAAGATGTTATTAATTGTAATATTTCTTAGTATAAAATAAATGTATTCATCTTTGGTATGTCCATAATTAAAACATAATTATTCATGTTATTTTACAGGATCATGAAGCAGAAAATTCTGTGGATGATGAAAATTCAAATATTGAAATTGATCTGCATAAAGTCAAAAACAGCACGAAAGTGTTATCAAGAGAAGAACTAATCAACTTTCTAAAGGCTGTTACCAAAATTCATAATATTTCTGCTCAAAGACCTACAGTGGGCCTGGTATAGAATTTATCTGATTAAATACTAGTGCATTATTTACTTTTCTTTAATTTTAAATGAAAAATGTATATTACATAGGAATTTCTGCTATCTATATTAAAATGCTTTAAGAGTCCAGGTATCAAAATATTTATCAAGAGACTAGACTGGGCTGTGCATATTTTCAGGATGAATGATTTAAACCCACAAAAAATTACTTGCTTTGACAAAGCCAAAGGAAAAAGAAGAGAACGATCCAAAATGTGATGGATAGATGTAGTTGAAAAAGATTTTGAAATCCTAAAAGTTAAGAACCTGAAAATCATTGTCATCTATAGGGTTGTTTTGAAATCCCAAGGAAAATGTATTGCTTGACCTGGACTAACGAACTTCTGATAATTATAATGATGAATTTTGATTAACTTGAAATTTTTTGTAATAATTCTTTACCTTTTTATTGACTTAAAATTCTTTAATGATGAATCTTTATTCAGGGTGGCCACCCACCTTGAAAACCTGGAATTATCTTGGAATTTTTTTATACTGGAAAAAACCTGGAAATATCAGGGAAATTTGGATAAAAACCTGGAAAAATCAGGGAATTTTAAAGAAAAGCTGGAAATTTTTCTTTGATAATATTTTTAATTTCACTAATTTAAATTATTTGCTAATTTTCTTAATTTAAATTATTTCATCCATTATACCCACTTTTTTTTAACGGAAATGTATCGCCAAACAGTTGAAATATCATCAACTTAGCAATACTTTGCTTGCATCAGAATTTGCTCCATTACAGCTGTTAAACTAGAATGCCACATAAAATTCTCCTACTGTTGCTAAACGAATGCAGAAACCTTTGACCGCTATGGGACTGTGCAATTTAGGAAAGATTCTGGTGTAGGTGGAAAAAGATTTAGGATATTAGCTTCTATTTTTAAATACTGTCTTTGGGCTGAATCCATTTATGGCTCAAGTTTGTTCCGATGCTTTGGTGGTTATTTTTTTTTTCGATTTTGACAAAATGTTTTTGTATTTTTAACTTTATAAAATTCTCCAAAAATTACTTGGTTATAATTTAATAACAATAGATTTTATATTGCACTCTTTTTCTGAAATTTTTTCTACTCCCATTCAAGGAAATCTGTGAATTATTTTTTCTCAGCAAGCCAACCAATCACACATTTTTTTACCATCGCTGACAGCAATGTTTGTCGATAAATCGTTACAAT